TGATAAACTTTGAGAATGCATCGTATTCTACTGTAGATGAACTGTTTAACTCTGTCACCTCTAGTGTTTTGAATGTTCTGGATACCGTTGCCCCTGTGAAGGTTAAAATAGTGAAAAATAAGCAGAAGGCGCCGTGGGCTAAAGCAGACTCGGTCAGGGCACAAAAGAGAAAGTGCCGGAGGGCCGAGCGGAAGTGGCGCAAGTCCAACCTCCAGGTTGATTACAAGATCTTCAAAGATAAGTTGTGCGAGTTTAACCGGGTGCTACGTAGTACGAGAGAAAGGTATTTTTCTGAAATGATTGAAGGCTGCAGTAACAATCTGCGTGTTCTGTTTTCAACAGTTAATAGATTAACAAACCCCCCTGTTCAGATGCCATTAGAGCTAACTTCCAAACGTAAATGCAATGAGTTTGCACACTTTTTCAATGACAAGGTTCAAGGCATCAAAAACGCCATTGTCTCCAATCCACAGATAACCATCCAACAGCCAGAAAGGCTCTCTGAGCTAACTTACTTTGCACCTGTAGATGATAAAAATGTCCAAGAAATAATCTCCAGTTTGAGCTCCTCCACATAAAGCCTGGATGTACTACCCACTAGATTTCTGAAGTCTGTTCTGAGCAGTCTGTTACCTTCACTCACACAGATAGTAAACATGTCCCTTCATTCTGGAATATTCCCAAAGGCCCTGAAAACTGCAGTCATCAGGCCCCTGCTAAAAAAGAGCAGCCTGGATGCTACGGTACTTAACAACTATCGTCCCATCTCAAATCTGCCATTTATGGGGAAAGTCCTTGAAAAAGTTGTCTACCTACAGCTTACTAGATTTCTTATAATTAACAACTCATTTGATAAGTTTCAGTCCGGCTTTAGACCCCACCACAGCACTGAGACTGCTCTTGTCAAGGTTACAAACGATATCCGGCTGAACACTGACGCAGGCAAAGTCTCAATCTTAATCTTGTTAGATCTGAGTGCTGCCTTTGACACCGTCGACCATGAGATCCTCTTACAGAGATTAGAGGACTGGGTTGGAGTCGCTGGCACCGCCCTAAGTTGGTTTAGGTCTTACCTTGAAGACAGGAAGTACTTTGTGGAGATTGGAGATTGTGTCTCAGATCATATGGCCCTGACCTGTGGAGTACCACAGGGGTCGATCCTGGGACCTCTTCTGTTCAATCTCTACATGCTGCCGTTAGGTCAGTTAATACGCAGAAACAAAGTGTCCTATCACAACTATGCAGACGACACTCAGATCTATGTCTCACTGACTGCAGGAGAACATGGACCAGTGGACTCACTCCTTCACTGTATCCAACAGATCAGTGAGTGGATGCAAAACAACTTCCTTCAGCTAAACGCAGACAAAACTGAAATGATTGTCTTTGGTCCCCAGAAACAAAGAGAGAGCGTCATCTGTCATCTACAGTCTCTCTCCCTAAAACCTTCAAACAAGGTCAGAAATCTAGGGGTAATACTGGACTCAGACTTAAATTTTAATAGCCACATCAAATCAGTAACATCAGCAGCTTTTTACCATCTAAAAAACATTGCCAGGATCAAAAACATAGTGTCTAAAGCAGACTTGGAGATTCTTATCCATGCATTTGTCTCCAGTAGGTTACACTACTGCAATGGCCTGCTCACAGGTCTGTCCAAACAGGCTGTAAAACAGCTGCAGTACATTCAAAATGCAGCAGCTCGAGTCCTGACTAGAACCAGGAAGTACGACCACATTAGTCCGGTCCTCAGGTCCCTGCACTGGCTTCCTGTGGCTCAGAGAATAGACTTTAAAACAGCTCTGCTTGTGTACAAATCTCTCCATGGCCTCGCACCAAACTATATTAGTGACATGTTAGTCCCATATGAACCAGCCCGGACTCTGAGGAGCACAGGGACTGGACTCCTGTTAGTGGCCAGAGTCAGAACTAAACATGGGGAGGCTGCTTTTCAGATTCATGCTGCTAAAATCTGGAACAGTCTTCCTGAAGATGTGAGACAGGCCTCCTCTCTGACAATGTTTAAGACAAGGTTGAAAACAGTTCTGTTTAGCTGTGCATACAACTGAGGGATTTTATATTTTTATCTTTTTTTAATATACTGTGATTATTTATGATTTTAATGCTTTCTTGTTCTGTTCAGCACTTTGAATTGCCTTGTGTATGAATTGTGCTATATAAATAAACTTGCCTTGAACTTGCCTTGTGTGGTCAGCTGTAGTTACTTCCTGAATAGGCGTGGTCAGCTGTTGTTACTTCCTGAGTAGGTGTGGTCAGCTGTTGTTATTTCCTGATTAGGTGTGGTCAGCTGTTGTTACTTCCTGATTAGGTGTGGTCAGCTGTTGTTACTTCCTGAGTAGGCGTGGTCAGCTGCTGTTACTTCCTGAGTAGGTTTGGTCAGCTGTTGTTAGTTCCTGAATAGGCATGGTCAGCTGTTGTTACTTCCTGAGTAGGTGTGGTCAGCTGTTGTTACTTCCTGATTAGGTGGGGTCAGCTGTTGTTACTTCCTGATTAGGCGTGGTCAGCTGTTGTTACTTCCTGAGTAGGTGTGGTCAGCTGTTGTTACTTCCTGATTAGGTGTGGTCAGCTGTTGTTACTTCCTGAGTAGGCGTGGTCAGCTCATGTTCCTTTGTGAGTAGGTGTGGTCAGCTGTTGTTACTTCCTGAGTAGGTGTGGTCAGCCTGGCACCTGCTGAACTACTGAACTATAACTCTTGAACATGAACACAACCTATTTGTAAACCAATGAACCTCAGAAGCCATAGATAACAAATAGCTGTCCGACCAATGACACATTTTCTTAGAATACATGTCATTAAAAAGTGTGTGGTTTGCATAATATTGTGGTTCTGAAGGCCATCATGAGTATGTTTACAAAGCACTAGTGAAAACCTGTGTACTGGTACAATTTAATTCAATCAAGGTGTGAAAAACATGAGTATGTTTACAAAGCACTAGTGAAAACCTGTGTACTGGTCCAATTTAATTCAATCAAAGTGTGAAAAACAGTCTGTTTGTCATAAATGGATCAAACCTTTTTTCACTGTTTGCACTGCATGTGAACCGGATTTTTGACGCCAGGCAAAAGCAGGAAACATGGTGCATTTAAGTGCGCTGTGGAAATTGCATTACTGGTGCTGCTGCTGTTGCGCGATACAACTTTGAAAGGGTCAGAAGGGTCCTCACATGTAGACTGGGACCAGAGTGGTGTGACCGGTTTGGGAGCAACACCGAATTGAGTAAATTTTTACGTGTATTTGTATGCTTTGTAAACATACTCAATGGTGAAAAAGTCAACACCCAAAGCTGCATCAACTGCTAGTAATTGCTTTCTCAAGGACAACAATTGAAGTCTGTCTCTTATCGGCCACAACAATAGAGAAACAATCCTATCTGACGGAGCAGAGCTTGAAACACATTTGTTCAAAGAAGATGCAAAACGTTATAGATCTGTGAGAAACGCTCTTCGCTTCTCATTTGGCCATCACAGTTGTGTTTTGAGCAATTCCTTCTATGTTTTTCCCGTCAAGATAAACAGAGAGCGACGTCTCTATTACAAACATTCAGACTTGGTTTCTTAAAACTCATGCTAGAACATAGCTTGCCTCTTGAAAAATATAAAATAACTATTATGCTCAAAGTTATTGCAGTAAATTGAGTGAATGTAACTTCCCACCTCTGGCTATAATTGTCCCTTCAGCTCACATTCCCTCATTATTTTCAGTGTTTGGAGAGGAGCTACTTTCCAAAGCCGTCCAATGCCTAAAGTAGTGACAGTATAGGTCACCGTGCCACTTCAGGAATGACAGTGTTTGAATGGGTCTGGTCATTTGTCTGGTGTGTGTAGTCCATGCCTTTTGGTCTCTACTGTTTTAAGTAACACGATGTGCTTTTGCAGTTTTTTGTTTTTCCAGTGTTTCGCGACCCATGTCTGAACGGACAGGAATGATATACAGCAAGAGTGAGGCTATGAAATATGTCTTTTTAAGTTGGTATCGGCTCAAATTGGTTATTCCACCAAAACCTCATGGCCATAGGTGAAGGAGGGAACTAGACGCATGGGCTCGCCACATGGGGTCAGGACAAACTACACTTACTGTGACATGTACTTTCATTTTAAAAGAAAATCTATTCTTTCCACATATTGGTTTTCATGTTGTAATGTAGCAGATAAATATTGATTTAACTGGCCACAACTTGTTTTAATGGCAAGTTGTTTAACGGATCCATCGTAATCTTCCATAACTCATGCAACTCTATTTAAAAAAACAAAAACAAAAACAAGCTTATAGCTACTTAAACTTGGAGTCAAAATATGAACTCCATAAACTCGGCCTGAAAAGTATATCACAAAAAGAATACACATATTAGCCGCTCCTGTGGACTCACCACCTGCAGGAGGATCAGTGAGGGGCTGGTGCTCTGTGTACTGGGTGCAGCTCTGACCGCCACCCCCCTGACCCAGTAATGGATTAAGGGGAAGAAAATGGATGGATGGATGGATGCTATAAAAGGCACAGGGTTCAAAGAGCTTGAAAAATGTGGTTTATAATCCAGTTATTACGGTAATCTTAACCTTAATGCCTTGTTCCATAAATCTCTCTCTGCTTGGCTGCTGTGTCTAGAGACTGCGACAAAAGTTCAATTCGATTCCATTATCTTCATTGTATTTGTGAATAGCCTTGAATCACAACAGCAGTCGTCTCTTCACACACAGGAAGTGCAATAATAACAAACAATACGGACCAATGCTATAACAAATAGCATTGGTCCGCATTGAGAGAGGGATGGGCTGTCGATCCAGGACACAAGATAAAAGTGGAAAAGTGGAAAGTATATATTCATGATGGATATGTTTCCCAGCCTCACACAGTGTCGTTCAGTCTCTGACATTTGTGACGAAACACTGGACGTAGCTTTTCTCTCTTGCGTTGCTGCTGCTGCTGTTGTTTTGAATTGCCATGTTGTCTCACGCTCTTTTGTTTTGTTCTGCATGGACAGTTTTGTAAAGCAAAACTGCGAACCACACTCGCGCAGGTGCTCCGTCATCAGCAATCAGTCTCTGTGAGTTACAACTACAATAATCTCCTGCTCTCCTGGCTTCTCCCACGGCCCCTGAATGCACCATCTCTTACCCCTCTTTCCTACTTTTACACTGGCTATTCTTTTTTTTTTATCATGTGAAATATTCCAAAACTGCATAGATAATAAGGTTTCTTTTTTTAAATTTGGTTCATTTTGTCAAGAGGATTAGACCTAGCCATTAAAGCTTGGGTATCTAACTTTCAAACAACAACAGTGGAACTATGTAACAGTCATTCGTTTTCACATGCATGTATGTTAGGCCTCTGTGAAATCTTTGGATCAACTTTTTCAGACAGAAAAGTGGAAAAAAAGCGGACCACCTTCACCAGCTCTCGTCCCAAAGCGTCAAATAGTGACTTGCAGGGCTCTTCCTGTCAAATATTTCCTAGTCTGTGACCTCCTGTTACTTACGTGGCAATAAAAATGATTCTGATTCTGAAATATGCAAAAGAAAACATGGTTTCTAATGAGATGAATACGGCCTGTTGTGGTCTGAAACAATCTATATTATTAACAAGAAACAAAAGTTAAGTACCCCAGCTTTATATTGCATACTTTTATAGATTCAGATGATAGTTTTACGGCCTCCCAGCCACAATTTTTGAAGAAACCTCAACAAATCTTTGAGCGACGTTTCAGTTTTTGTGCGATTTCAGTGAAACTTCCAAACTTAGTTGTGTATTCTCCTCTTTTTGCACAGTTCTCTCCTCTGTTATGTCCCTTGCTTGGCTTTGGCCTCTCTGACCCACTGTGTGTGTCCTGTCTGTGTGTAGGACTTATATCTGCGCTTCTCCTTCTCACCGAATCCTGAGGTATACAGCGGGGGAAAAAAGACACATTCAAAATATATGTGAATTAACCCATCTATGATAGTGCCCTCTGCTTATACTGGCACCTGTGGCTGAAATTAGCAAAAAAAGTGCAATGATATTGTACCAAAATTACCATGTTTCCAGTGTATAAGCACAGTATATTAGTTTTAGAGTAACATAACTCTCCTATATGTTATGTGTTACGATATGTTACAATATTAGCAGCAACTTCTGGGACAGACTGGTAAGCACATCCCCTTGCCCCTTCTGTGTATATACTCCATTTTAGTTAGTTTGCAGTAGTCAGACTTGACAAAGATTAGCCAACAACAGATCAAAAAATCAAACGGTTTGAAAACAAAAGAAACGGATTAATAACAAATACATAGGAGCCATTGGTCCATAGGGAGTGGGACGACCAATGTCCATTTATGTTAATACATGTTCCCTCCTGCATTGGTAAGGAACCACTAACAATGGCCAGTCAGACATCAAAACATAAAAAACGGTTGACCTATAATTTTAGTTATCTAATGAATAATCAATTACAATTTCCACACCAGTTGCAACCATAATACAATATTAATTTTCCCAATGTCTTTTCAAAGCAGGAGTTACTTCCTGAAGTATTACAATATGTGGCCTAAAAATACATCTCAATCACCAATCCTCCTGGTTTAGTCCTGTTGTAGTTGAGGCAAGGCAAGTGTTTTTGTATAGCACAGTGAATAATCATAGCTTAAACAGTCTCACATTTTCAGTAAATTCCAGATTGGAGCTGCATTAATCTGAAATGCTTAACATGTCAGATAGACTGTTTAGTTTGGTCTTTCTTCTCTCAGATGTAATCAGCGGTGCCAGTGTTAGCTGAGGGCTCTCTCTCCGCCCGTCACCCCTCATACCCCCCCCCCCCCCCCTCATACAGTCTCAAAGCTGTATGTAGCCGCTGCCTTTTCCTTTGGGCTTTCCATAATTCCACGTCCCACTGGAAAAGCGTTTGAACAAAGCTCGTCAGATTAGAACGAAAAGATGTGAAAATGCTACTCGGGCCGAATGACCTGCCCTGTGCATGCCGCCTCTGGGAATTCAAAATATCGTCCGCGGTGATATTTTGCCTGTAATTATCTGAAAGAGCTGACGACGGGAATGCTTGTGGAGGCATGCTCATATGGTGATAAATGCACAGTGGAAATTCATGTTGCTTGATCAGGAATGAAACGTAGCACGCTCTCTTCAGCAGCTGTAGATCATGGTAAGTGCAGAATTAAACATGGAAGCATCTGGTGGCTCACTCTAAATACTGTATGTCTACTGTTTCTGTGTGTACAGCCTTTCCTTTCTCTCCTCTGCCCACACTTCCATTCAGAAACATTAAACTATATACAGGACCATAACATGTTACAGTAGGCAAGACTACATACTTTAACATAGCTGTAGTTTCTCACACAAAAAAATTAAAGATTTAAAGCATCATTAGAATTTAAATTGTATGTGATTGGATAGAGAAGAGATGTTCCCAGGCCAGGAGACGTCCAAGAGGCATCCCAAACAGAAAGACGAATGGGAATCGATGTTTTTAGAGGACCAATCACAGCCCCTGCCGTCTGAACCCTTGGCGAAGAGACGGATATTGAAATTTATTTAATGCAGCTGTAGAAGATGGGTCTGTGTGTCTGCAAACTTTACGGAGTAGAATTCATTTATATTACTTAAGGTTAAGTCCCACAGTGGGGAAATGTCAGCGTTGCATCACAAGTTATAGAAGAGTAGGAATGAGGAGCACAAAGACACAATAGAAAAAGTGAGTGTTACAGTCTTACAGTATTCAGTACAGTACGACTCGATATACTTAAAAGAACAAAATACCAAGAAACAGTGTATTCAAATATTTAAACAAGCTATAAACCTGTTTACTCTAGCGCACATATGTCAAACTCAGGCCGCGAGACCATTCTTTGTGGCTCCTGAAATGTTTTTCAATTCTCATTATTACAGCTTGCAGCTTTGATGGCTATGGGATACAATGGCATGTTATGCTTCATTATAGGAAACAACCATATAAAATAATCCATTCTAAAATTGTAACCAACATGTAATTAGAAAAAAAGTTTTATATTTAACTATGCATATTCAATCACATCACTTTTTGGCCAAGTTATTATTGAATCCAAACATACATAGAAAATAATATCCAAAATGCAAAAATATGTAAAAAATAAATAGATAATGATGATCAAATAAAAGAAATGGGGCAACAGTGGCTCAGTTGGTAGAGCATTGGCCTTTGAGCCACTGATGTCTGCTGTCGTTGTGTCAGGGGCAAGACACTTAACCCCACTTTGCCTGAAGCCCCCGCTGGAAGATTAAGGCTCCTGTGGACACGGCACCTGCAGGAGGATCAGTGAGGGGCTGGTGCTCTGTGTATTGGGTGCAGCTCTGACTGCCACCCCCTGACCCAGAAATGGATTAAGGGGAAGAAAATGGATGGATGGATAGAAGAAAAACACGTAAAGTGTTTTTTGCACTATAAGGTGCACCAGATTATATGGCTCCCTTTTGAAAGTAAAGGCTTTTATGTGTGTAATAGTGCGAAAAATACAGTATGCATTTGGCCCCAACCAGCTCTTATGTTTTTAAACTTGGCTCCCGGCAAAAATGAGTTTGACACCCATGCTCTAGTGTAAAGAATTTTGAGTCCAGAGTAATACATACCGTTCTTACGGTGGCTAACGCTCCCCTTCATGTGGCCGTGCAGTAAGGACTCCCAGAGGACCTCCAAGTCCATGTCCATCTGGGAGCAGAGGACCAACCAGCTCCGCCGCCACAACATGCGCACCAGCAGCGAAGCCCTGTTCAACGAGATGGACTCCGAGGAACGCCGGCGTCTCTCGGCCATCCACCTGCACCCGGACGCCGTGAAGAGCCACCTGGAGCGGCCCCTGGTGGTGGAGGGCAGGCGGGGCAGCTCGGAGGCGGGCAGAGAAGAGGCGGGCGATCTGGCGACGGGCGAGGGCCATCACAGGAAGCATCATCACCACAGGAACGGGGAGAGATCCAAGCACCGCCATCACCTTCACCACAACGGGTCTCCGGAGGACGAGGCCGAGGAGGTGCAGAGGAGGAGCAAAAGGAACCGGTGGGTTTCACTTTCAAACCCTATAAGATGAGTGAAGAGAAAGCACATGCAGTACAGTAGTAGGGGCACACAAAATATACAATATAAGGAGCTGCTATGTATCTTAGCTAGCTTTAAATGCTTCAATAGCAATCTCTCTCTCTCTCCCTCTCTCACTCTCTATATATCTCTTTTTCAATTTTCTGTCTCAAAAAGCTGATCCAAAGATTTGTGGCTGTATCAAGCAGGTGTTACAATCAGTCAAATCTTGGTATGAGAGTGCTTTTGGACAATCAAGATCAATCAAGAATTTACCGAACAACATAACAAAGGTTATGATAAAACTTGTATAATAACAGTTTACAGGACCTTTCTTTTAGTTTACATTTCCTTGTGTGGTTTTCCTTTTGTCCCTGGATAGTTCACAAGTAGCTTATTTGTGCTCATTACTCACTGAGCTGTTTGACTGCTGCTCACCACACTCTCAGATCCACAAAAGAGGGCAACGGCGCCCTGGCGAACGGCTCCAGAGACGAGGAGCGCAAAGGCCGAAAGCTGAAGGCCCAGTCCACGATGGAGGCAGAGAAGAACAGCAGCAACAACAGGTGACCACAAACCCCGCCTCCACCACACACACTAAAACCAATCTCTATTATAGCCCATAGCCATTGACTGTATATAGATAGACAATGCTAACCTGCATTGTCTACCTATCTATCTATCTATCTATCTAACCTTCAATGAAGCCCAATAGGGAAGTGCTCTGGTTCCTATTGACTGAGTAGGCGTGGTCAAGCCTGATTGACATTACAGGTCACTCAGACTGACCATGCCTACCTCTTTGGAGGAGTTCTCTCTTTTTCTCTCACTCTGGTCTCTCTTTCTGGTCTCTGGTCTCTCTCTGTTCTCTCTCTGGTGTCTCTCTCTCTGATCTACTGTATTTGTCTCTTGTAACTCTCTCTGGTCTCCCACCGATCTCTCGCTCTTTCTGTTTTCTCTCTGGTCTCTCTCTGATATCTTTCTCTCTTTCTGTTATCTCTCTGGTCTCTCTCCCTGGTCTATCCCTCTGGTCACTCGCTGGTCTTTCTCTCTCTCTCTGATCTCTCTCTGGTCTCTGAATCTAGTCTTTCTCTGATCTTTCTCTGGTTTCTATCTCTGGTCTATCCCTCTGATCTTTCTCTCTGGTCTCTCTCCAATCTCTCTCTCTTTCTGTTTTCTCTCTGGTCTGTCTGGTCTCTCTCTTGTCTCTCTGGTCTCTCTCTGGTCTCTCTCTGGTCTCTCTGGTCTCTCTCTGGTCTCTCTCTCTGGTCTCTCTCTTCTCCTTGATCCAGCATTTGTATTGTATTGTTTTCAGATATAATTACCCTTCCGTTCCAATGTGGTTATTTCTCTTGCAGTGATCTCTCTTGCAGTGAGGTTTTCCCAATTTACTGTTTAAAAACATTATACCTCCACAAGACAAAATGAACCTTTTGTGAATCACGACTAGTACAAGTTAAAAATGGACACTGTGAGGTGGTTTGATTTTCAGAACGTGGGCAAGTGCCAGTGTTGCGAAGGTCAGAGAGTTGTAGAGCTGAAATATTAAAAGTAGATGAATTCACTGTGATAATATCTAACTTTGAACAGTGTCTCCTTCTCCTCGGCTGCACCGGAACGCGAGTTGTCACCTTTCGCCCCGGGGACACAGTGTAACGATGCGGTCATGTGATCTGTCGCAGGGACACCGAGTCAGACGTGATGGACCAGGACCCCCCTTCGAGCCCTGGGAACCCCCCTAACAGCAGCCCGAGCCTGGGAGAGAAGCAAGAGGACGAGGACAACCGCCGCAACTCCACCAGGGCCGGGAACGCCATACAAATCCCCGTGACCATCACCGCGCCACCGGGAGAGACCACAGTCATACCTAGTCAGTGTGCAATGCTAACTGGTCTGTTTTATGTCCTAAAACTGGGGTACCTAATTTTAAAAACAGAAAATTGGTACTACCCCTATGTGCCCTACTCGTTTCTAGCTCGTTTGCTTCTATCAGTAGATTTCACATATTTCTGGCCTCTGTCACATCTCAACATCGTCAACTTTCTCGGTCAGAAAAGTTAAAAAGAGAGGACCACCCTCACTCAGCCAATCACCTCTCAGCCCAAAGTGTCAAAGTGTGACTCACAGGGCTCTTGCTTACAAATATGCTAAAGCTAGATGAAGGCAGCATGTTCTGGTCTGATTTGTTTTTGAAGATTTTACTTGTACAAGGCTGGGACAAACCGCAAGAATACAAAAACTTTGGTACTCCAGCTTTGAGTCAATAAGTATGAGATCTGTATTTTTATAGTGCATTTCACAGACCAAGGTCACACAAAGAGCTTCACAAATATTTTTGCAGGACAGGTAGAGGTAAGGTGCACTTTATTTAGCCACTAGGGCATCTGTCTGGTCGCCATAGTAACAGTGCCCGGGAACCGATGTTGATGCTTGGCTTGGTTAGGACAACCGGAGCTGGAGGATTTACAGCTATATTTCCCTATGATTCCCGCCAAATACACAGGCCAAAACCCCCATTCATATACTATCACTGACACAACGTAACGCATATATGCCACACAGACACATGCAAACTCCATACAGAAAGGCCCAGTCTGGAGGTGGAATAAGACCCAGAGGCTTCTACTAGCTGAATTGTAAATACTTTTGTGAATAACCACAAACCACAAAGGCTTACGCACCGAGAAGCAGAGTGACAGACAGACGGCCGACTGAAAGGAGAGGGAAGAATATAATAATTACCGTCATGTTAATTAAGCCAATTATCAGAAAGCCATTGTGTTTGTGGCTGACAGCCGAGCTCAGGTCTACAGGCCGCTGTGGATCTCTGCTGATGTTCGGTGACAGTGATCCTCGTTGTGTAACTCTCCCGCAGTGAACAACATCGACCGTGACGCCTTCCAGTTCAGCGACGAGAAGAAGGATCTGGAGGACGACGACGCGGCCAACGGACCCCGAGAGATCCTGCCGTACAGCTCCATGTTTGTGTTCGGGACCACCAACCCGTAAGTACACCCCCACAGAAACGCCCCGTCGGGGAGAGGGCAGCAGCTGTGTGCGAATGTAGCTGACAGAACGGGTTAAACCTAGTCTTGAATATTGTCAGAGTAGAAACGTGTAAAAAGGTTGACCTCTTGACCGATTTTATGCAGCTAAAATTTGGAACAGTCTTCCTGAAAATGTGAGACCGGCTTCTACTCTGACAATGTTCAAATCCAGGTGGAAGACAGTTCTGTTTAGCTGTGCAAATAACTGAAGGATTGTATCTTGACCATGTTTAATGTAGTGTGACTATTTGTAATTGTTATGCCTTGTGTGACTGTTTCTGTCTTGTTTTGTTCAGCGGTTTAAATTGCCTTGACTGCTCCAGATTTTAGCTGCAAAAATCTGAAACGCTTCCTCTCCATGATTAGTCCTGACTTTGGGACCAGCAGGAGGCCAATCCTTGTGCTCATCAGATTCAACCTGTAACAAGCAGAGCTGTTTTAAAGCCAGTGCACTGGATGGTCATGTGATCGTACTTCCTGGTTCTAGTCAGGACAGGAGCTGAAGAGTTTGAATATACTGCAGCTGTTTTACTGTTAGTTTGGAGAGCCCAGTGCGCAGGCCGCTACAGAACTCTTCCCAACTGGAGGATAAGAATCTCTAAGTCTGCTTTAAGATCAATTCATACTTGATATGAATGATAATGAATGAAACACACACTGAATGAGTGTGTGTTTGTGAGTGTGAATGTGGGACAACAGATGCAAATTAGCCCATAGCTACAGTCCGGAGTGATGTGTTCATTAACATGTACTGTCCCAACCAAATAAACTATAAATAAATAAATAAACATATATTGTTTTTGTTCGGCCAGCCTGAGCTTATCGTCAGTTGTAATAAATGCTTCAAAGCATGTTTGTGTAGAAATGTCCTTTTTGCCACATCGTGAAGGTTCAGTGGATCATGTCACATCTCAAGGGGTCTGTTTTGGATTCTCCCACTCTAAAGGTTTGCTGTTCAGATATAGACACAATCTGATCAGAAATGAAAGAAAACCCTGCAGTCGATAGGTTGTATTCACAAGGTTGACCCCCCCAGGACGCTCTGAGCTTAGGTCAATATGTAACAAACGCTGGGAAACAAAACTCTGTCTTAGCCTCATGAGTTCAAAGATCTGGTTTGGTCTCATGTTGATTCAGACTTCATATTTGTTTGTGGCCTCGCCTTCATATGTTAAAGTCTGATCCCTCGGAAGCTCAGCAGGGCAGGGCTGGGTCAGAGCCTGCTGTATACTGTAAGAGAATAAGCGGCCATGTATCTGGAGTGACTGAATAATGTCATGTTAGTTTCACCCGACTGAGGATGTGTTGCTACAGTTTTTACAGCCTGAGTGTCCAGAAAGGCGCTGTATACAAACCGTTGCATTATTGCTTCAGTGGTTGTGTGCTGCTCTCTGGCCCTGCTCTTTCTGCACTCTGCCTCAGGGACTTGGCCTGACCCTGTCCCCTCATGTCCCTGTGCTCCTGCAGCGTGCGGAGGCTGTGTCACTACGTGGTCAATCTGCGATACTTCGAGATGTGCATTCTGCTGGTCATCACCATGAGCAGCATCGCTCTGGCAGCAGAGGACCCGGTCCAGGCCAACGCTCCACGCAACAATGTGAGTGACACCGCCGACAAAGTGCTGAGTGGAAATGACTCTAATCACCGACATATTCTCTCCAGCTGATGAGATCTGACTCTGCAACTAACATTCTCTGACTGTAGAACAACATATCTTCACCAAACATCTCCGAAACTTACATAAAGGCAGGCCAACACGTTAATATTTGTATACTGTATATATATATATAAATCAAGGCTTAGCTCTTCTTGTGTTCTTGGCCTAAATTTGGATCATAGACTGTAAACAGATGGACAATGCTAACCTGCTGGCTAATTTTGCTCCAACCCGCTCTGGCTCCTATATACTTACATTGAAAAGTATTTTTCCCGAGCTCAGTCACCGTCTGTGTCACACTCAATATTTTGCGCTTAAAAGAATATATGGTTTAGTGCTCTCTATGATCCTGGTGAGTATATTTTAATATTCCTTTTTTTTTTTTTTCAGATTTGAGCCATATAAGGTTTGACTAATCAGATGCCTTCATTCGCAACACGTGTGTCCTTCTTACAGCGCAAAAATATAACAACTAAGTAGCCGGAACAAATGGCCATTTAAGGAAATTGGCTCCAGCTAGCTTATGTTCAAATTTGCCTCTTTTGCAATGAGGCTAACACCATGGTCATGTCACACTCACTCAGTCCACTCCTAACATAGAGTTTGGACAAGCGCTGTAATGTTATTGACTGACCGGCTTTTGACACGATGTAAGAGGCCAGTTGGTGTAGAACTCACAAAATCCTGCTTTCAAAAATGATCTCTCTTATCTCCAAACTGACCTGTCTCCATGTGAGTTTGGCCGTTTTAAACTGAACAAAGCATTACTGACCCTCCAATCTGAACCAAAACCCTTTCGAACTCAGTTGATAACGTCTCGTGTCCCTCGAGAACTTCATTGATTTCTGCAGACTCTGGAGGTCCCGTTTCATTCATCAATAGAATAGGTCGGGTTCACAGAGGGTTATAAGCTCCTAGTCTCGCACAGGGCAAGGGTGAAGTTTTTTGTTTTATAATGCTGGGAGGAAGTGGGTGGTTGGGAACTCTGGTTTTCTTCTCAAACCGTGTCTTAAAGATGCTATACCTGATTTATTTGTTGATGAGTTAATAAAAATGCTTATTACTACTACAAGTTGTACTATAATCCGTAATTGAATTGAAAACTTGAGCTCATTGATTCAGCTTGTGTATGAATTCAGGCCGTAAAAAAGTGCTGAGTAGAGACTTAACGTGACGCTCGCTCTCCTCCAATCACAGAACGAGGAGCGGCGCTGTTACGAACGGGCTGCGTCCTCTAACCTCTACAGCGCTGCTAAACACTGTAGGATGTTAGCTGAATTGGCTATAACTTCTCTGGCTGTAACTGCATACACAGCAAAACAGCCCAAACGACACAACAGTGAAGAGAAGAGATAACTAAAGCGGGAACGCCTCAGACTCTCTATGGTCAGACTACATTCTGACGCGAAACTAGCGGTAATCTTTCAGTTATATACTTTGTTAGCAGTGGGTTGCTTTTGTACCATTTCATCAGCGATTGTTGTACAGCTTACAAGAAGTGGCACTCATGCTAATGTTAGCATCAGATCACAAATAAAACTAGATGGCTCCGTAGGAGGAGCGTGTAGGGGAAATGAGAAGACTGTGAGCGAGTGGGCGGTGCTAAACATTCAAACCTTGCAGAAACGGGTATAGCTCCTTTAATATGGTGCAAAGGGTACAGCTCGGAACCAGACTCTACTCTTGGATGCTGGTTATCGTCAATTCACTTAATCTTTTGGTTTCCTAAAAAGCTGTTTTATCACATTCATAGCTACGTAAAAGTAGCACTCGTTCCATGACCTGTGCAAATCAATCTATAGGCTCTTCCACTTCTTCGCACCCATGGACAACAGTTACAAAAGTTAGCTTGTTTTTTTAGCAGTAACAGTTGTTATCTCGGAGGACTAAACAAATTTGTTGTTCAAACGCAAATTAATGCAATGATAAAAAATACAGATGACTAATGTCCATAAATGTTTATATATGTACTACTGATATACTGTATGATAACTACTGTTGTGATTTAGGGCTATACAAGAATGAATTGGATTGCTGTAGTGTGATCCATATTCTCCTTGTTTATAAATAATATAGAATAGCTGTCATACCAACATACAGGTGATAGTGCTCAAACCACATGGAATACACGTGCAACAGTCCCCCAGTGTGGGCCAGACAAGTACATAAATGAAACAAGCTGAAAAGTACGAGAAGCAATCGTCGCTGTGAAACCAATCGACAAAAACAGCTCAATAACAAGTGAAAAATCATGAAAGTGCCTTGTTCAAACTGATAACAGCTTGTGCAGAGAAGCTATTAGCATAAAGTTTGATCTCACTCTCTTTTCCTTCTTTTGTTTTGTTTGTTTTGCCCTATTTACATTCACATCAACACATTTTCAGGGCTTACAACTGAACCGTGTTTGATTCAACCGCAAAACATTTTCTATCTGTTTTTAACCAAATTCTCAAAGAAACAACACGGACATTTAGGGCGGGATTGACAGTATCGGCTAATGGGAGCTGACACAGGCCTGCGGGAGGAGACATTTTCTTTGCTTCCAAAAGGGACGCGAGCCCGGGTCACGCGGCGGTTTAAACTGCGGCTAATAAGAGCAGGGGCTGGATGTTGAGGAAGCGTGTTTTGACAGACAAGCACAACTAATTAAAATTGCAGTCAGAGCGCGGAGATTACAGGAAGGCCGCGCACGTGCCGGGGGTGTGCATGTGAGCGCGGGTCACTGAGGCCGACACGCAGGGAACATGGAGTCCACGTCTACGCTCGCTCGCTCTCTCTCTCTCTGTGTGTGTGCGGCCTCTTTTCTCCTGACGTAACATGCGGCGGGACCATGTTAGCAGGTTAGCGGGGGTTCAGGGAGCGGGAGGTGGCTCCGACATGAAGACGTTTACAATACGACACACAGAAAAGTCGCATTATGAGTTTGAATTACATCTAGATATTACCTCTACTGCCCTCTTTCCACCAGCTCCACTCGGCTATTCTCTCCTCTACTCTATTCTTCTCTACTCTACTCTTCTCTAATCTATTCTATTCTACTCTTCTCTACTCTACTCTGTTTGGCTCCTCTCTACTTTATTCTACTCTACTCCACCGTTTGAACATAGATACAACACTGTTTATGCTTTTTATTTAAAGGTTTAGATTAGATTTCGAAATAATGAAAACAATAAAATCTATATAATGGGAATCTATTGGCTTTTTGGTAAGTAAAACAGGGAAAAAACTGAAAAAAGTCTTGGAAAAATTCTGGGGAAAAATGTAAAAACACATCGATATTGTGTCTAATTTAAAAGATGTATCAGAAAATATATGCATATTTTTTTGCACACCCACACATTGAATTGTGTTTAAAGTGTGGCATCGCTCTAGCTTTGCTTTGGTCCCTTATGAGATAACAGCCCTAATTACGAGGCATTCTTCCATTGTTATAAGCCAAACACTATGGGGCTCTACATATGAATGAGTTGGCACAAAACAACAGCATTCATTAATAGTCATTGTGCTGTATTTGGAGAATCTGTTACTGAATGGCCATCTGATATTTACCAAATTCTCAATAAGTTGAATAAAGAAAACATCTCTTTCTCTCTTTTCTGCAGGTGCTTAAATATCTGGATTACGTCTTCACCGGAGTCTTCACCTTCGAGATGGTCATCAAGGTAAGAAAGAGTTACTCTGATAAAAACCAGCAGTATTCTCATCACTGGCATCGTTCCCTTGCCAGAAACAGTCCTGCAGTCGCTCCATCCTAGCCCGGACTTAGCCAACCGTAAACTCTGGTCAATTATTATTTCCCTATATGTACGTTTGGGTCTGATCCTAGTGTCTGCGGTTACCTCGGTTTTTATCCCATCATCCAACCAATCAGCGAGCAGGGGAGGCGGGTGTTGTAGGGAAGTGTCGTGACATCAAGAGTTTGCGCCAATGCACTGGTTGTAGATTGGCAATGGCGGCAAATGCGATAGTAAAGTAAGACGTTCTGAGTCGGCTCCAAATATCCAGAAATTGAAGCAAGAGGAATGTTTAGCAAATATGTTGTGTCTCTACTCCCCATGGGCTCCGTGAGTGGCAAAGGAGATGGCTAAAGCTAGGCTAAATGCTAGTGACTCACTCGGGCCCATTACATACGTCACGGTAAACTCAGATCTAATCGTTTCGAACTTTCTCGGGTCTTCATTGCAAGTAATGTCAAGTGGTCAAGAGGTAAATTGATCAAGAAGATGACAGAATTTAATCTTTACAATAACATTTATATTGGTGGAGATTAAGTTGGCTGAATGACACCTATGTTTATTATTGAAAATGGCAAATTTTGGGTTAGCAAAGAAAAGGGCCACAGGAATTGACCCCCAGGGCTGAGTTTGGACTTGCCTTCTCCAAACCTTGCTTTGGTTTGTAGGAATAACATTGTGAAAGGCGCTATACAGTATAAATACAGATTCCTTACTTACATTGTTGCCTGGCATCTGCCTGTTGAGTCCACTTTCGTACAAACATATTTCATCAATAAAAGATGTTCGTACAGACGGCTCCTGCTTACGACCCAGAGAAGCTGTTTCCGCAGACCGTATGCAATGTGCCGCATGAAGAGACCGACATGATCCCAATCCATTTTTAATACGACTGTAAAGTAAAATTTGCTTGTTCTGTGAGGAAAGAAAGCATGGTCGCGTGTTTGTGTCCGGTTTGTGCAGGTCTGGGGTCCAACATAAATTGGTGCATTAACTCCAGCGTTTCTTTGGTTACACTTTAGATTAGCCCTCACTAATTAACAGCAAATTAAGTGCTAACTAGTGTACCCAAACCCTAACACTGACTCTAACCCTAACACTGCCCCTAAACCTAAACCTAAGTGCTTTATAAATAACAATGGAGAGCTAGTAACTATAAATGACACTAGTTAGCACTTAATTAGTGAGGGATGAACTAAAGTGTGACCAAAAAAAAGCACAAACCAACCACCAAGATAAGATATGAGATCCTTTATTCGTCCCACAGTGGGGAAATTTCAATGTTGCAGCGCACATACAGGACAGTAATAAGAGCACACAAGGAGCACACACAATATACGATGTAAGTAGCTGCTATGTTTCTTAGCTAGCTGTATATGCTTCAATATCAATCAAAGAGGCACAGTTCCATTCCTTAAGCCTAGCGTACATCGACATGGCAACTGATTATATCCGTCGCATATGAGTTGCTGCCCCGCACACATCGACAATCTGACGAAAACGGGCAACTCCCAGTAGCAGACCAGTCTCGGGAATAACAGCGCGTACATCGGCAGCAACTGGCCTCAACTACAGTGTGTTTTCTGACATAAACTGTTGCGGGCTCGCAATACACGCAATACACGCACGTTGTCGGAGCGGCGCATGGAGCGCGCACATCGGGTCATATCTCAAAAACTGAGGACAACTAGTTGCCGAAAAGTAGAACACGGGCAACTGACTGAAACTGGAGACCGACTGTTCATCTCCAGTTGTAAGAGCGCTCACATCGACCGATTTCGGCAACTGATCATCTCCACCATCTCCTATCAGTTGCCAAAAGCCGCCTTGCAACTAGTTGTCCCCAGTTTCTCTGTCGATGTACGCTAGGCTTAAAGCTGCAGATCCTCCCCAAAATAATGCAGGTAATTTTTCCCAATAGAAAGAGTCTTATAAGAAAGAGTCAAGATTGAGGCAGGTAGAGACTCACAGGGCTGAGAGCTGATTGAGGGTGGTCGTCTCTTTGTCACTTTTCTGTCTGAAAAAGTCGACATAAAGATGTGAAAGAGGCCAATAATACTGTACATGTGAAGAGTAGTGATATTGGAATGTAACTTAAGTTATCATTTTGGTAAATCATATGTGGCTATATGCTGAATGCTCTGTATTGTAATTCACTTTAGCTCCAGGAAGACACCGGGAGGTCTGGGGAGCTCATATGTTAAACAGAAGAGGAAGCAGTCTTTGTATACGCTAATTCGGAGTGTCTTTTGTTGTGTTGGTTTCTTCCTTTCCCATCTGCATACGAAGGTGTGTCTTGTTCTACCAAAAGGGGCTTGCAGACTGTGAATCTTCAGACTTGTCCTGAGAGAGGCTGGGGTCTGTGCCTTGCCTCTGTCAAGACATTCTCCTTGTACAATGTAACAAGTAAAAGATTAACTTTGTCTCTTTGTTGTGTGAGATTTCATCAGGTTCAACTGTAGTTGAAACAGCATTATCACTTGGTCCTTCGAGCCGGATCCCAACACTTCTTACAGGAGCTGAGCTTGTCTCAAACATGGACTTCCAGGAGCAACAACAAGGCCTTCTGCATTCGGAACTGCATTGGAACTCCAGGTTTGAGGCAGGACAGCCCTGGGTTGGAGTCGACAGGAGAACTACAGTGTTTTCCTGATGAAATTGCAACAAAAGGCAAGTTCTGTACACTCTAAATTATGTCCAAAAGTAATCCAGGAAGTAGTGTGAAGTTCACATGAACACATTCATTTAGGAAAACGCAGAAATTGTGCCTTAGTCTAGGACTTTATTACACTACGAATTATGTCCAGGACTAATTCAAGAGAGTAGTGTGGAGCTCGAATGAACCGGGTTTCATTTAGGAGAATTGAATTACTTCGGACTGAACTTCTACATTACTTCTAAACTGAAATTGGACATTTATAGACATCTAAATAAGCTACATTGAAATTGGATGTTTAAAGACCTTTAAATTACTCAAAATTTGGAATTGGACATTGCAAAAAGTAGATAGACCGCCATTTTGGGTGGCCATGTGGTCCTTTGTCCTCTGGCCATGTGTTTCTTTGTTCTGTGTGTCCTCTTCGTTTTCCTTTGTCAAAGTTTTCTTGGTTTAGAATCACCCTTCACCTTATGTTTTGATTCTGAAATGTATTAACAAATGTGCTTCTTGTTTTTGAGAAAAATGCCACATCCCTGCCAAAGCTTCAAAGCAACAAAATCCACCTATTTTCCATTGTGGGACAGAAATCCCACCCCCATCGCCATCTCCATACAGCCATCGACACCTACGAAACGACCCTCCACACAAACCCCCCCCCCGCACCGGAAGCTGCTGACGAATAATCACGGGCCGATTTGCAAGGATCAAAGCGCGCAGGCCCACGGAGGGCGCTGGCCATTTGTTCAAGTTAAATGGACGTGAGAATTGAAGGTGACATCTTGGTACATTTGCGACTTGAAAGTTCAGCTTTGTGTCGCTGCTGGAGAACGGCTTGCTGCTAGTCTTGCGTCGGAAACGCAGACAGAGAAGAGTTTCGAAACAGGAACAGAGTGGACATTTCTGGTCATAACCAAACATGAGGAGGGGTCGAGAGGAAGTGTCAAATGGACTGACTATGGACTGTGAAAATGTACTTTGGGTTTTCAGGCTTTTGGGCGTGTGCGTGGTGTTGAATTTGATAACCAAAGTTAATACATTTCAGGTTAATACATTTCTAGTTAATACATTGTTCAGTTTTGAGCCATCTATATCTCAATAGGGGGAATAGTTTATGGAACAACAATGTGAAATTATACTATGAACATTTTTTTTCTTTTTCAGTTTGGATGTGTGTTTTTTCATTTTCAGTTCTCCATGTTCTCCATGTTTAAACATAGATTGTTTGATTTATCAAAAGGATAAAAAGGAGGGAATGATATTGGAATGTAACTTAAGTTATCATTTTGGTAAATCATATGTGGCTATATGCTGAATGCTCTGTATTGTAATTCACTTTAGCTCCAGGAAGACACCGGGAGGTCTGGGGAGCTCATATGTTAAACAGAAGAGGAAGCAGTCTTTGTATACGCTAATTCGGAGTGTCTTTTGTTGTGTTGGTTTCTTCCTTTCCCATCTGCATACGAAGGTGTGTCTTGCTCTACCAAAAGGGGCTTGCCATCTGTGAATCTTCAGACTTGTCCTGAGAGAGGCTAGGGTCTGTGCCTTGCCTCTGTCAAGACATTCTCCTTGTACAATGTAACAAGTAAAAGATTAACTTTGTCTCTTTGTTGTGTGAGATTTCATCAGGTTCAACTGTAGTTGAAACAGCATTATCAAGTAGTTCCATGACGCAGATGGAACCAAGCAGTTTTGAGAGCGAGGGACTGATTTGGAACTGTGTGTGTCTCAGATGATCGACCTGGGCCTGCTGCTGCATCCTGGCTCCTATTTCCGGGACTTGTGGAATATTCTGGACTTCATCGTGGTCAGTGGAGCTCTGGTGGCCTTCGCCTGCTCGTAAGTCCTTTTTAACATAAGAGACACTTTATTTGTACCACAGTGGTGAAGTTTTGGTGTTGCAGCGCACATACAGGACTGGAGCACACAGGGAGCACACAAAATATACAGAGATAAGGAGCTGTGAACCTCTCGCCAGAGTGTATTGCTTCACATGAGCAAAAATATGTATATATAATAAATTGGACATTATTGCAGTATTTACTATTCACAGACATGTAGATACAGGTTCAGCACTTATTGTTGTACAGTCTGACAGCAGCAGGACGGAAAGACTTGTGGAACCTCTCCTTCACACAGCGAGGGTGGAGCACTCTGTCACTGAAGCTGCTCTTCAGAGAAAACAGTGTACTGCAGGGGGCGATAGTCAGGGTCCAGCATAGATGTTTGTTCAGGACCCTCCTGTCCCCCACCTGCTGCACCCAGGATAGAGGTGGACTTCCTGATGACCTTGTCCACCACAAAGTCATGGAAGGATTTAGATACATTTAGATGCACACTCACTCTCCACACAGCTAAAACTTTTTATTTCTGTGCGATTGTTCACAAGGAAATATAAATGTTGTATTGTCCTTTATGTGACAGTGAAGCTTTTATAGCAGAAGCAGCAAACGTATTCTTAGATGTGTGTGATAAGTTTTGTCCATGACTAAGTGTTCTATGGCATTTACAAATATGAAAGCTGGGGTAACTACTGTACCTACAGAATCTTCTTTGTCCCAACAGGAAGAAACTTAAATGTTGTGTAGAAATCAGACCACAACAGGCTGTTCAGAGTATTAGAAAACATCTTTTCCAGTCCATACTTGTAAGAAAGAGCCATGTGAGTCACTATTTGACCCTTTGAGCTGAGAGTTGATGGACTGATTGAGGGAGATCTTCTCTTTTTCACTTTGCTTTCTAAAAAACACCACAAATACATAAAAACCAGTGGTTAAACCAGACTGTTTTGAAAGCAAGGAACTCCACAGATACATGTTTGTGTGTTTTGAAAGCTAGCTACCCCAGCTTTTATCATTTCTCGCAGTCAATCTTTGATGCTATATCCGTCTGTGAGCCTGCTGTAGTCTCCCTGCTGCGGTCTTTTGTAACTATTGTGTCCAGTTGTGAACAAAGCTTGTCTTATCTCTCTGCTCTGTCTTCTGGCTGGGACCTCTCGCAGGAGCCTCATGGGGTAAAGTCTGTCTTTTTTCCTGTCCATCCCACTATCTGTCCTCCACCTGTCCGCTTGTCATTTCCACGCGTGTCGTTGGCAAATGTCAGATTGTGTCTCCCTTCTTATCCAAGTCCCTGGCATTTCACCGTCTGTCTTACGTAACACGTGTCTGTGTGCGGCAACGGCGAGGACAACCTGTGTTTGCAATGTCATCGTAATAAACTGCACAAAGGTGGATTGTGTGACGTCTGTGTTGTAGGGAAGGGCAAGGACATGTATTTATTAGCATAATTCAAATAACATTGTCACTCAATTCAATTTATTTGTGTGTCTCCTACCCACGTAAATAACTACAGCAGTCGTCTCGGGTGACTTTACAAAGGGGCCGATTCCACGACAATAGATCAGAATCACAGGCAAGACACTTCAGCCACATTAGAATGAGTCTGGTGTGTGTGTAAATGGTTGGTGGTGGTCAGAGGGGTCATACTGGATGGTTGCTTCTGTCAGTGTGCCCCAGGAAAGCTGTATCTACAGTAGTAGTTTATCAACACTGTTTATGGAGTGAATCATGACACATGAAGCATCTTTGAGCGTCAAAAAAAATGCTATGTAAAACCGATGCATTATTATTATTATTATTATCATTACTTACAAAGAATCAAACAGTTCAAACACATGGAATGCAATAACAAACACACAGGAGCCATTGATCCATTGGGAGCGGGATGACCACTGTCCATAAAATACAATAAAAAAGGCCTTAATGTCCTTAAGTCCCAGATGATCACTGTCCTTTGACCCTCCTGCATCGGCAAGGAACAAAAAAAGTCAGAGGAGACCTCGGGGAGACCCACAATGAGAGAGGGACACCGTCTGTCTGCTTCCTTGACGTGGATGAGGAGCTGATTCCACAGTAAAGGGGCTTGGAAGCTGAAGGCTCTGCTTCCTACTGTGCTTTTTGACTCTTTAGGAACCATCAGAAGCCTGGTGTTTTTCAAGCACAGTGCTTGGTTTGGTTCATATAAGACTAATGTGTCTTGGTGGTAGGAGGGAGCCACACCGTTTAAAAGCTTGTATGTTAAAAGAAGGTATTAAATCTGGCTATTTAAGAAGGTAGGGTAGGCAGTAATCATTATTTTGAATTTTGGCCTTAAAGGGAGGCAGACACCGAGAAGAAATACATTTCAAAAACACAACTGCTTCAATGAGACTGCATTAATAGTATACACTGCATTCTCACGGCACTGCAGAGGCATGCACTTATCTTTTATTCTTTCTGTAAGTTCACAGAAATTCCCCTCATCATTCCAACTGAGAGTCAAACTTAGGCACTGTTTTTCCTGTATAAATGTGCAGTAAGCAGAAGGATAAAACATACCTAAAGAAACCTTAACCCCAACTTTCAGATCCAGAGTAAAATTGAGAGTATAAGGACAGTGCCCAAATCTGTAATTTATAAGGAACAGTAACTGCCACTGTTCAAGACCAATGTCCATTAATGCGGTTGAATGTCAATTGTCCTGGATCATCACCATTGTCATTAGACCCTCCTGCCTCAACAAGAAAAAAGTGATATTTTACCTAAGTTTCCGTAGCTTTAACCCAGGATGTGTGACATGCTTATTCTCTGGTGCAGAATATTTAAAGTTTCCTCTTTGATTTGTGCCGCCGAACCAAAGGCACTGCACCTTCTGAAGCCATGATAGAGAGGCCGTGTCCCGAGAGATGGGGCGAGGCTGCCCTGAGCGTGGTCTAGCTTTGAGCTCCTGGAGTCCTGGTTGCTCCCAAACTGCTCTGACCACTCTGGATCCAGTCTGTATCCGAAGCAGTATGAAATTCATAAAAGCACAATGTTAGCAAATGTAATCGCGCAAAATCTTGTTTACTTTATGAGGATTGGATTTTGGCTCAACTGCCGCAATACATGTTTTTGCAAGTAACAAAAATCTAAACAAATAAGGAAACGCAGCATGACTTTTACCCGAGCTCAATTAAATGCATCTCAGTAGGATCCATGGTTTTCGTGGCTACATGCATCGGAATCACAGTAGAATTAGATTGAATTATAATGGTCTATAGTGAGTTGACCGGTTTTCACAAGTGCCATGTAATCATCCTGCCGCTACTACTGATGTGTAAGTAAGTAAGTAAGTAAGTTATTATTTATATACCGCCTTTTCACTGCAGATCTGAGTCTCAAAGCGGTTTACAATTGTTAATTTTTGGGCATTTGTCTCTCACTCCACACAGAGATGGGAGCGGGGCCAGTACAGGAGGCACATGCCAGAACTATTGGACATATTTTTAGTGGTAGGGGAAACCGGAGTACCCGGAGGAAACCTACGCAGACACGGGGAGAACATGCAAACTCCACTCAGAAAGGCCCTGGTCCGGCCGGGATTCGAACCCAGGACCTTCTTGCTGAGAGGCGAGAGTGCTATCCACTCAGCCACCGTGCCGCCCCAAATATCCCTGTTGCAACATGGCACTGCTGGAGCCAGAGTCAAGTTTATCTGTATGGCACAGCTTACACACAAGGCAAGTCAAATTGCTTGAGAAACCAGAAAACAAACATTAAAATCATAAATAATCACAGCACATAAAAGATAGTGAAGATATAATCCTTCAGTTGTCTGCACAGATAAACAAAAAAGTTTTAACCTGGATTTTAACATTGTCAAAATACAAGCCTGTTTCACATTTGCAGGCAGACTTTTCAAGGTTTTAGCTACATCAAATTACATCGATTACAGATGACACTTGGTTGTGAAGTCCACTCATTGGAACTAATACAGATAATTCTCTTCTTGATACTGATGGTGTTAAAAAGGCTTTGACAGAATTAAACGATTGATCTCAAAGCAGCACTATTCATCATTTTTACTATTCACGATTCATATTCAAATGAAACTCCACTTTGAGCGTGTCTCTCTAAAAGCTTTTCTCTCCTTAAATCACTTTCTTCCTGACATTTGAGCTCATCAGTTGACAGTAATTAGAAGCGGGCTCTTTGTTGAAAACAGAGTGGATTTTATAGGTCAGAAATCTTGTTTCCGGATTGAGTCATGGAGCCTGAATGAGCAGAAATGTCAGTGGGAGGCGGACGTGAACACCTCTCCAATCTTTGTTGGCGTTTCCCCAAAGAATTAAGAAAAACAATAATAAATGCTATTTTGGCGCCACCTGGGGGTGAAAGCCAGATCCTGTCAGACCTCTGAAGCAAAGCAGGTTAGGGCCTGGTTAGTACTGTGATGGGAGACCTCTTGGAACACCAGTTGCCACAGTGGGGCGGCTATAAAGTGCCAAACTGTTGTTGTGTCCGTCACCCACATGCTGAGAATGAGTCTGGTGTGTGTGTGAATTGTTATATTACTTACCTATACTAGGTTACCTTAGCATAATGTTCAATTCAACCCACTTCCAATTTTTAACACCTGTTTACATTATGTTTTGTTTGTAAAACTAAGATCGACCTCTGGGATGAAGCTAAATCAATTGTTGAACACTCAAAGCTGGGGTTCCTCACTTATTTCTTTCATAATATTTCAGAAACAGCCCTGTGAGTCACTATTCATTTCAGATCTAAAAATGTGACAGAGGCTGAAACTTGTGATCAAAACTTGTTACACAGATTTTTATTACATGGTTCATTTTTGGTGGTTCAAAGTTAGGAACCCAAGCTTTAATATGGTGTTAAAGTCTCAGACAGAGTTCTCCCTACACAGATGGACTGTGGTCGTTTGTCCTCATGCAAATGCAGGTCTGACCTTCTCACATCTCACAGACACTGTTCTCAGGAGGAGTGAAAACAGGGGAGCTCAGAATGTCAAAACTACATTGTCATCGTCGCTCAGAGTTCAGGATTTTAACTGCTCCTGTCCATCCATGGGTGTGGATCTCTCTCTCACTGTGGGTTTCCCTGGAGATTTTAGGGAGAGGGGAATGAACATTGGTTAAAAGATGAGATGTAATAATCTGGCTACAGAGTCCCAGCTCTACAGCCTGTCCATCTGTGGGAGTGGATCTCTCTCAATGTGGGCCTCCCCAAGGTTTCTCACTTTTTTCCACTGATCATCACTGTCCTTAGACCACCTTGCTGAAACAGGAGGGTCTAACTGCTAATTTACACATCACGCGTTACAGCACGTACGCGTTATACGTGCAGCAGACGCGTGTAACTTTTTTCCATGTTAACCTATGATGATATTTACACTTCTAGCGTTATACGCGCGTATGACGGACGTATGACGCGAAGCTGCGCTCTAATTTGATTTCAATCTCCCATTGAAATCTCATGTAAAACATGATTTTTCTAGCGGTCCTTGGCTCTACTGTAGATCGCATCTGCACACACACAGCACTTGTGTCTAAACATCAGCAGGAGGAGCAGCAGGTTTTACAGTGATTCTGGACATCGTTTTTTTTTTTCTTTCATAGAGTCTGGCGTCTGGCCAAACCAGCGCACAGAGACCATGAAGACAAACACATGCATGTGATTTGTGTTGCTCTACATCAGTCCTCTGTCCTCTACACTGCTCCATAGACTACACAGGGAGAGCATCAGAAGACGCAGACCTGCGCGCACGGCCTGTGTAGATACTCCAAACAAATGTTACGCGCAGAGAGCGCGCAGTAAACGCGTACGCGCTGTTTATGCCTACTGTGTAAATTCCCCGTAAGGACAGTGATGATCCGGTACATTTATGGACATTTGTTGACATTTCCAGACAGTGGTCATTCCGCTTCTTATGAACAAATGGCTCCTATGTTTTTGTTAATATTGAATTTCCTGAGGTTGAACTGTTTGATTCTCCGATAGATTGTTGGTGAATTGACATCTTTTTTCCGAGATGACTGCTGTTGTTTGTTATGGTGATACAAAAATAAAATAACAACAAGATAATTCAAGAATCCAAGCAGTAAAAAGTCAAATGCAGACAAACATTAACATTCTAGGATAGGTTAAAAGGTTTTCTTATGGACCAATGTTCTCATCGTTTGATTTTCTATCTGCTTTTCTGTGATGGCCATTGAATTGATCAAAGTTGAAGTGACATCACTTTATGAAGGTAGTAACTTATCATTACAATGGTTTTCCTGTCGACTGCTTAAATCTCAATTCAAAGCTGATTTTAAAGATGTATAAAGTCATGAAATAAGCTGGAGTCATGTATTACCCGTTCCAGTGGCTCAACTCATGCCTGCTCTTCCTTGTCCTGCTCTTTTCGTGTTGAGCTTCTTTTGAGTCACTTTGTGGAGCTCCCACATCAACATCACCCACTCGCCCTGTGTGTCGTCCACAGAAACTCAGCCATCCATAAACATGTGTCTCCACACATTTGTGTCGCCGTCTTGTCTTGCATCTTCGTGTTTACGCAATGCTCTGGAAACTTGTCATGCTCCTGTGTTACGTCTTTGCAGGTCTTTTTGGAAAATTCTAGCCAAAGTACATTTTTGCCTGATTTTGTGAGGACCTTCTGCTAATATAACTTAAAATAAAACTGGATCATTAAAACTGCTGTATGTGTGAAGCTAAGTGTTCATAGGGAAGTTACTGCAGGAATGTTGCACAGTTTGTAATAAACATATATCTAGCATTGATTTAACTTGATATATATATATATATATATATATATATATATATATATATATATATATATACATATATACACATACATACATCAAACTGCTTTACAGCCTGGCTCTTGGCTCTTCGCTAAGTTCCAAATGCTGAGGGGGGTATATATATTTTTGGTTGGACCAGGCCTAGTTTATCATTTTTCCCAATTTTCCTGCAGGGCTACAGTACTCACGGCCATTTTCAAAATGTACATATTGATCACACATACATTTCAAAAAGGCTTAAGGCTAGCACTACAGTGACGTCCCACAGTCGGCACTAGATCATTACGGAATTGGGACGAAACCGAAAGTAACAATCCTACTTTCAAATTTGTTTTAGACAAATAAGTCCTTAAGTGGTGACTAGTTAAGTTTTAGGCGTCTGAGTAAGATGGTTAAGATTAGGGTTAAGGGTGGGTTGGGGTTATTTTATGGGAATGGCTGGTTAAGTTTAGGCATTAGTAGGTAGTTTGTTATATTTACTTCCGCTTCCGTCCTGATTCCGTATATGATCTAGTGCTGACCGTCAGCCCACTCCTAATATACAGTCGATGGTCTACACACTCTCTGACCCAACACCCACGTTAGAACCGATAGCCAATATTTATAAAACTCTGCTCGAACTCTTTAAAGCAAACTGATTGAAGTGATTGATGTTTTGATAGTTTTACATCCACAAATAATTAGAAAATGTTGGGCCCAATTGACCCATAATTGGTCCAGTTAAAGCGAACCAAACTAAAAAGTGTGAACGCGCCCTCAGAAGACAAATCTTTCTTCAATAGTAAATGACTAATGCTTTTTCATTGAGCTGCTTTTCAGGACAAGAAACACCACTTTTCTCTTTTCTTGCTTCTCTCTCCTCTGCTTTGTCTGTGCTTTGTGCTGTCACGCTGTGTTGTTGCTGAACTGTCTTTTATCACTGTTTTTCTCGTCAGATCTCAGCAGAGCATAGCCAGGTGGGAAATGTCCGGACTCCAACACAAATCTGTATCGAAGCCCCGTTTATCCCCCATCCCAGATCTAAGGAATGATCCGTCTTGATGGATTATGGGATTTCTCCTCCCTTCCCTGTGCCTGTCCCTAAAGGATTCTACCAATATTGCGAAAGTGAAATGAGAGAAACAATATTGGGGGAAAATGGTAGCTTTCAGAAGAATCGTGAATGGGAAGCAGTTGGGTGTTTTTTTTTTCAAGCCTTTGACGAGACATTGGACGTCGAGCCAATAAGTGGTCAGATTTCCGGCTTTAGTCCAAAGATTTTCCGTTCGTAGCAGAATGCACTGATGCAGGGGGGCTGTATTGATTACCGTTTAAGTACATGTAAAACACCAGATTAAACAGAGCAGACGATGAAGCCGGGTTCATAATCTCTGCTCCTGCTCAGTGGATTAAGAGTAAATCCAAACGATTCGACACGCCGTCCTTTTGAAGCTTTCTCCCCCATTTAGAAGCAGATATTTTGACTATTGGCCAAATCAAGACTATGCCATTGTCCATACTGGTCATTTAAAGTACACTACCTGTATAACCAGCTAAACTAAACTAAGACGTGCAATTTCTCACTTAGAATGTGGATAAAAAGCTCAATAGTCAACCTAGAGTGTGTTAGAGTGTGTTTAAGCCATACATCTCCTGCTCCTTTGACACCAGTGGTTTATCCCACTCATACCATGGCCAAAACATACACACTCATTACAGAATAGAGAATATATATTTATATTTATATCCTCTATGCCTTCAAATAACAAAGAGATAGAGCCAAGTGCCAGTAAAATCTCCTGAGAAACAGTTGACAAGACCAAAGTACACACAAAGAGGAGAAAAAGCCTCATTTCCATTGAGCAAAAAAGTGAATTTTGACCAAAAACTACTCAGCTTCGCAGCAGGTAAAGTGAGCCATCAACAGATTTTTTTCCTCTTTCAGCAAATAAATAACTGATTCAGAAGCATTGCCACGTCTGGTGTAGGAGAGTATATCACCTAAACATGTAAAACGCAATAAAAGATTAACTTGTTTAATGATAGCAAGCCCCTTTTTTAACAGTAAATGTCAAATAAAGTGAACGCTAACCCAACACTGACCGCTGACCCCGACCTCACGGCACCGCAGCTGCACCACTCGCTAAGGCCGCCGCTTCTTCTGAAAGCTACCGAGAGCGCTGGCATTGGAAAAGCAACAACAGTTTTTTCAATTTCCATCCCATGTTTTGCAGATTGCATGCATGAGTAAGCGGATCATTGGAGCATGAGCGCTGCATGCCTTTTCCTCAGACCTGGTTGCAAGAATTTTTTATTTTTTTTACCCCCTCGAGCCGAGAATGTATGGAACCATGCTTCTCTATAGACATTGTGTCATCCCCGGTAAAAATAGCAGCAACGTGCCGGAGCTTTGTCATGGCCTTACACATGCTCCACTGCAAATCAGGTGTCTCAAGTCAAGTCATGTGTGAGCGAGACTTGTTTGTGGAAAGCGCGGTCAAAAAAAATTAAAGTGAAAGTGTAGGAGAGACACTTCAGAGGCTGTAGTTTTAATACTAAAGCCAGATTTGTTTAGTCTTGGCACAAGTGTGTTGCAAGGAAAGCTCTTAACTTAAAGAAGAAACATGATGCCATCTTTTGTATCTTTAAAAATAATAGGCCTAAAAGGATACTGGTTACTTTGTCATTTTATGTTTACGAATGTGAAATAGTATCTTTCGTCACAAAGATATGGTGAAAGAAGTATGGAAGATAAACAATGCTATCAGCCTGTAACTCCCTATGCTGCCACCAGAGGGAGAAGTAGAGGAATTATCGGCTGTAAAGACAGACATGTGATGATAGAGAACGTATTTTAATTTGAGAAATTACTCAAACCAATGTATGCACAATACTTCTGTTTTAAAACAGTGGGATGTTAAGTTACATGCTTGTGCCAGAAGTTTATGATATTAGCATGGACGGATCCAAAAACGACGACAGGTCTGTAACTGATAAGGGAACAGTACAAAAAAATTAAACGTGATGCAATGTTCCGTTGTCAAGAGGACCCCACTTTGGGAAGCACTGGCACTGCCTTAAAGACTACATGACACTGAGCTATTTTCAGCCTTTTAAAACAAAAGTGTTGCTTCCAAAATCACCCCATGTTACATCTATGGTGTTTGGACATGGGAAATATGCACTATGTATGTTTAACTGTTTTTCCGTATATTTTTTCAGAATAAAGCGCTGGTTAAAGATCCAAATTGAATCCACATTATTTGTCCTTCGAATCAAACTGGTTAGCATCGCTTCCATAAATAGGACAATCTGTCACCCTGCCAGCAAGGCTCCTTTCAACCAAAGAACTAAAATAACTTCTCGTCCTCGTCTTGTCTGCGGGGGTAGAAGTCGGCGGCCATGTTGGCGTGGTCTGACAGCGTGTGATGCGTGTGTGACTGGTTAATTGGGGCCCGTGCTGGCGTCCTTGAGCCCGGTGGATGAATGACGGCTCTCCGCGGCGGCTTCTATCAAAGCGCAACTGTGATTTTTTTCTGGTTCGACTCAGCACGCTGCTTTCCGGACAGACAGCACTGGTTCCTGCAAAGAACTGTTCCCTTCTTTGCATTTTGTGATGGGAGGTGTTCCACATACAGTATTCTAAGAAGCGTTATTCTGCAGAGATGGCCTGATTTTAAAGGGAAAATGCTCGCTGATTAGACATGAGGATAAAGAGATGAGGTGATGGGTCCATTTCACGCGCACAAAGGCAGTAATTAGTTGGAAATAATTTTGTCTAATTGAGTTTTTGAGGGCTTTCATCACATGCACCACTTTCATATCAAATGGCAGAAGCATAATTGTAAGCAATTTAAATATACGTTATGACAGAACTAAAAATAGTTTAAATAGGAGATATTTTTTATGAGAAATACAACGGACATGAGCATAGTATTTATTGTATGTTCACGATTTTCAAGCACAGTAGGAAAAATACAATAAAACACTAATATAGTTAATAATTATATAGACACCTTCTCACATTCATACAAGGTGCACAAGGCTAGAATAGAAATAAAAGTTTTTTTTTTTTTTTTCCATTTTCAAGCACTTTGACTGGCAATGTTTGCACTGGTTTCAATTGTTGTTATAAAAAGTTATTGTTAACTTAAACGTCTTTTTTTAATTATTGTTTATGTCAAGCTAACACAGACGTTTTGGGTTTTTTTCTTCTATGTGCAGCACAATATTTACAATTACTAAGTATGTTATTCACATATTCATATTTACAATTATATTCATGTCAAGGTGAGTTTATTTGTATAGTACGGCTCATACACTGGGCAAGAACCCAGATCTGAACATGGTAAGAGTAGAAGCCTGTCTCACATTTTCAGGAAGACTGATCCAGATTTTAGCTGTAACGCTGCCTCCTCGTGTATAGTCCTGACTCTGATTTTCACAACTTTATTTACACATTTTCAGCTCAAAATGGGTGAATGTTTGTAGAAGAAGAAAAACAATTGTATCTTTTCTTATCTTATCTTACATGGACTCACACCTCATGTACATAACGTGAGAAATGCACGCAGTTAATTTAATGAATACGTGAAATAATTCCTAATAAATCCTTAAGTCTCTGCAGAATAACTTCCTAACCGTGAGCATGAGGCACTAACTCTTCTCCCATCAGCTGCGTTTGTGATAATACTGAGAAATGCTGAGTTTTTCTGTCCTTTTCCTGGTTCTCATGAGGCTGTGTTTGTGCGCAGAGGGACCAAAGGCAAAGACATAAACACCATCAAGTCTCTGCGTGTGCTGCGGGTCCTGCGGCCGCTGAAGACCATCAAACGCCTGCCCAAACTCAAGGTCAGAGCCACGTGAGACCAGCTGGGGCCACTGGGAGGGTGACTCTATTTGGTTGCGTTCTTGTTTTACAATTTTACTTCCGTATTTCAGCAATGCAAGTCTGCGGGAAAGAATCCGTTTTTGAAAGAAAGGGACATATATACAGACAGAGACACACACACACTTGCACGTACACACCAGTGGGGGAGGGTCCCAGCTCAAAAGTGGCCAAAATAACGTGCGCTGACATGCTTGCAATACCACCCCGGGCCGATGGGGGTGGACCCAGAAGTAGAATTAGCCATTGCTAACATATAGCATTGGCAGACCTCTCAAAAACGTCTTTACAGGATGGACCAAAAGTTGGCTCTTGGCCCAAAGCCCCGTTCCACATGTGTGTCAATGCTGAGGGGGGTGAATTTTTTTGGTCCACTCCAGTTTACTTGCTGTGAATTTTTTGAAGTCTCTCGTTCAAATGAATGGAGTTGCGCCGGCTGACGCATGCGCAGATGCGTTTTTTCACAATTTTCTTGTGGGCGGGACCACTCGTGGCCATTTTGGATTGCTCCAGTAGAGCACATTTTCTGGCCCATTAGTTAGAACGGCAGAGATAGGCGTGACTCTGTCCATTAATATATACAGTCTATGGTACACACTCACACACATCACACGGAGGGACTGATAGAGACACACACACACAGGCTAGTAGACGGACACACACATGCACACACGTATAGGAAGACAAACGCGGGCATGTCACACAGAAGGAGAGACAGACACACACATTATGGCAGACATAAACACACAGACACAAATACAGACATGTCACGCAGAAGGACAGACAGACAGACACACGCACACACATACACCCACACACACATTTACACATACACACTCACACACATGTCACACAGAGGGACTGATAGAGACACACACATATAATGGCAGACAGACACACACACAGGCACACACATATAGGCAGACACACACACAGAAGGAGAAACAGACAGCCAGAAACACACACATGATGGCAGACAGACACACAAACACAGACACACACATGTCACGCAGAAGGACAAGCAGACAGACAAACACACATAATGGCAGACACACACAGGCACACACATGTCATGCAGAAGGACAGACAGACAGAGACACACACACACAAATACAGACACACATGCATGTCACGCAGACGGACAGATAGACAGACAGAGACACACACACAAACACACCCTTGTCACACAGAGTGACAGATAGACAGAGACACACACACAGACACACAGAGTGACAGACAGGCTGGTGGAGCTTCACTCACTCCTCACACAAACAAATGTGATGTGAAACAGCACAGAGCTGACGGCTGCTGACAGTCACACAAGGACACGCTCTCGTATTCTTACTGAAGGGAAAAACTTCATATCGACTTTAAGGTTTATCGCCAAAAGTCAGGCTGAAGGAGAACCCAATCAAATAGATTCAATAAATGCTAAAATGTGGTAAACCTTCTTGAAACTTGGTCTACCTAGAGGCATGTGAGTTATTCTGATTTCCAAAAAGGTATTATAGGTCGTTTAAGATTTGAGGGATTTTCAGAACGTCACTTTGTCTGAAAAATGCTCTGAAAGTTTAATTGTATAGTTCATACACAGGCGTCTCAAAGGGCTTCAAACACAACAAAACAGAAACCATCACACAATTAAAATAAAATCATCAATTATCACAGTCCATTAAAGAGAGGGAATCCTTCAGTTGTGTGTTCAGCTAAACAGAAGTGTCTAACCTCTTCTCTAACATTGTCAGAGAAGAAGCCTGTCCCACTTTTTCTGGAATATTGTTACAGATAAATGTGAAATACTGCCACATTGTAATTTTTATATGTGTGTGTTTGCTTGTGCGTGTGTGTATATGTGTGTGTGCGTTTGTGTGTGCGTGTGTTTTTGTGTATGTATATGTACGTGTGTGTGTCTATGTATGTGTGCGTGCGCGTATGTGTTTGCTTTTGTGTATGTATGTGTGTGTGTATGTATGTGTGTATGTGTGTGTGTCTATGTATGTGTGCGTGCGCGTATGTGTTTGCGTTCGTGTATATGTGCGTGTATGTATGTGTGTGTGTCTATGTATGTGTTGATGTGTGTGTACGTGTATTTGTATGTGTATGTGTGTGTGTGTGTGTATGTATCTGTGTATATATGTGTGTATGTGTGTGTGTCTATGTATGTGTGCATGTGCGTATATGTGTACGCATTCGTGTATATGTGTGTGTATGTATGTGTGTGTGTGTCTATGTATGTGTTGATGTGTATGTGTATGTGTATGTGTGTGTGTGTGTGTGTGTCTATGTGTGTATTCCAGGCCGTGTTTGACTGTGTGGTGAACTCTCTGAAGAACGTCCTGAACATATTGATCGTCTACATCCTCTTCATGTTCATCTTCGCCGTCATCGCGGTGCAGCTCTTCAAAGGGAAGTTCTTCTACTGCACCGATGAATCCAAAGGCCTGGAGAAGGACTGCAGGTGATACATACATCTATATGTGCATGATGAGTTTGAACCACAAATGTATGATGCTTATGTAGAGGGTGTTGCTGCTTAAACTCCACATGGACTAGAGGCCACCCGCGGTACTGCAATTTCCCCATAGACCTCACTGTGTCACAAAAGGCAAAAAGAAAATAATCCAAAATAGAGAACTGCAAACATGATGGATTTAATAAAAGTAAAACAATACCAAAATCCAGAGTAAACACAAAATGTCACCAAACAAAGACTGACAAGAGTAATGAAAACAGATGTGGAATGACAAAGGGTTTAATACAAGACTAAAGAGACACAGGAGATACACATGTGGGCGGGGCAGGTAAACAGGAAATAGGAAGTACAAGGAAAGAAGACACAGGGATAACAAAAAAAACAGGAAATAATCCATGACACCGTGTGAAATAAAGCAGCTCCTTCTTAGCTCACAGGGAACTACAGCTTTCATAACGCAGTGTTTTGTGGGGAGTGGAATCTCATACGGGGAATATTCAAGGAATCAGATTACAGACTAAACAATTTAAGTACCTTTTTTTCCATTGAAATCCATCGGTTTTTATAAATCTACACTTTAGTGCAACAATCTCAGCTCACTCTGATCCCGCTCTTGCTACTCTCCGATCAGCAGGGCTCTGATTGGTCAGAACGCTCACGTGATGTCTTTCTGGTCTCTCTTTCTGGTCTTTTTCTGGTCTCTTTCTGGTCTCTCTCTGGTCCCTCCTTTATCTCCCTCTGGTCTCTCCCTGGTCTCTCGTTGGTCTCTCGTTGGTCTCTCGTTGGTCTCTCGTTGGTCTCTCTCTGGTCTCTCTCTGGTCTTTCGCTGGTCTCTCTCTGGTCGGTCTCTCTCTGGTCATTCTCTCTCTCTGGACTCTCTCTGGTCTCTCTCTGGTCTCTTGTTCTTCCCTGCCGGGGGACGGATGCAAATTAGCCTAAGGCTAAGTCTAATACAATGCATCAAATGGAAACATTTATGTTCTAATTTTACATTGTCCCTTTTCAAATAACAAATAAAATACAAATTTCTGGTCTCTCTCTGGCCTCTCTCTCTCTCTCTGGACTTTCCTTGGTCTCTCTCTGGTCTCTTGCTCTGGACTGGCCGTGGTTTCACTCTGGTCTTTCTCTGGACTCTCCCTGGTCTCTCTCTGGCCTCTCTCTCTCTCTCTGGACTCTCCTTGGTCTCTCTCTGGTCTCTCGCTCTGGACTGGCCGTGGTTTCACTCTGGTCTTTCTCTGGACTCTCCCTGGTCTCTCTCTGGACTCTCCCTGATCTCTCTCTGGACTCTCCCTGCTCTCTCCCTGGTCTCTCTCTGGACTCTCCCTGCTCTCTCTCTGGTCTCTCTCTGGTCTCTCTCTGGTCTTTCTCTGGTCTCACGCTTCCTGGTCTCTCTCTCTCCAGACTAATAAGAGTGACATTGTTATTCTCACGTGTGTGTCTGTCTGGATCTGTCTCTGTGGTCTGCAGGGGTCAGTTCCTGGACTACGACCGTGAGGACGTGGCCGCGCAGCCCAGAGAGTGGAAGAAGTACGAGTTCCACTACGACAACGTGCTCTGGGCCTTTCTCACGCTCTTCACCGTTTCCACCGGGGAAGGCTGGCCGCTGTGAGTGCCCCACACCACCACCAACCAGACTGAACACACCCTGACTTTAACATCTACATACTGTCACAGTAAAACTGGGACTACCACAGTTATGAGACCACTACAACCAGCACCGCAGGTTTTTTTTTATTGCCACTTTTTTATTGTAGATATTCATATCCTGCACAGACTATATTTTAACCTTTAACATGTTTTGCACACTTCTGACTTTTGCACATGCACATTTCTCCACTGTGAGATCAATAAAGTCTATCTTATCTTAATCATTCTGAGCAATACCCCCAGATTTATCAAAACTATTTTATGATGTTTTTACCTTTACTCACTTTTACTAAGTGTTAACATTTGTGAATATAACTTTAAATACAGTGAAAACAGTTTGTTGAAAAGCTAATGCTAAAAATCAAATGCTAACTGCTGACAGATGTGTTACAGTATGTTTGGGGGGGAGGGGTCAATGGACATGTACTTCTTGATTTACTGTGATGGCAAAGTATTTGTAACATATTTAAAGCTGGTGCACCTAACTTTCTTTTTCCATTCACTAACACATGTTCAAACAGAAAGAGTTTTGTTATATTTTGAAAACTTGGAAGAAAGAGCCCTGCGAGTCAATATTTGACTCTGGGCTGAGAGCTGATTGGTTGAGTGAGGGTCGTCCTCTCTTTTTCATTTTTCCGTTTGAAAAAGTGGATCTAGAGCTGTAACAGGGGCCAAACACATGCATCTGAAAACTAGTGATAGTTTTGAGAAAGAGAAACTTGGCCTTTTAAAAAAATCTACTATTTCAGCTGTTTTCACTGTTATAGGGTTAATATGATATTGGTTTTAAATATTACGCTTAAAAATAAAATAAAAAAAATACTCTCCGTAAGTAGTTAGATTTTTAGCTGAAGTTTATACTGGTTTTATACTCTTACTTTACTATTCCGGCCGTTCTTTTGTTCACTGTATATCGATCTCTTTGTTTCACCGACCCTACTCCAGCCAAATGGTGAGTCACATCAAAGTCTTATTTTCTTGCGTTTTTTGGCTTTTTCTGCGTGTGTCGGAGCCGTCGCACCTGCAGACAGTAAATTATGTCTGGGCCTAATGACTCGTATTCTCTGAAGAAGCAATCAGACCTCTCCACATCAGCAGCGTCTGTGTCAGTCTCATCAGCAAAACTCGAAAAAAGAACAAAAGCTATTTGAAGGTGCACTCCGACTTAACCTGGAATATTACTTTCTTTTAAACTCCTGGATACAATGAGATTATAGCCACGCAGAACCTTGTAAAACCCAAGAAGTTCATCAAATGTGTTCCAATTTAGCAGTATTTCAGACGGCAAAAACGCTTACATGTGGGTCAGGTGAAGGAGGGCCATTCTTTGCATTTCGACAGCGTTTCGAGCCGTAGAGCCATGTTTAGGTGAGTGAGGCTGCTACAGTGAGAGTGTGGGATGTTGCCCACACTTCTATGTCCTTTATAAAGTTGTCCTTGAATGGAAAATATGTTTGAAAATGTCAATTTTGCTCCTGGTGAATGATGAACAAACCATTGAGCTAGCTGGTTAGCATTTTCCATCTGTATAAAGTCTATCTTATTTAGCTATGATTGCTAAGAAAACACCTACAACGCTTAGAATAGCTTTAAATACGAGAAATACTAAAATGAGCCGGTGGAGTGACAGTGTGTGACGTGCTGATAAGGAGCATGGCTGGTCATACATATGGGAATTGGCAATTTACTCATGAGATGAAGCTTTATGCATTCAATGAATATTGAAGCTGAATATTGACAGTGACTTTATGAGGACTCAGGTGCAAAGCCGTCTCCACTGGTGGCTCTTATGGATTTACTCACTGAGATAGTCTGGCTAAATGGACAATGCCATTTTTTTAATTTTCTGTGTGTTTTTCTCATCAAGATATTCTGGAATGGCACTCCAACTGGTCATTCCACTTCTAAACTCTGATTATGTATTCTTAAGTATGCAATAAACATGAGGACAGATTTTAATGCCCATCACAAAAGGCTATTTACGACTAATAGACATTATGAGCAGTGTCTATAAGTGGGAAACATCATGCAGGGGTGATGTGTTCTAAAAATAACTGAGTGAAATCCTTAAAAGTAGCAGCTCTGTGTTTCAAGGCTGTAAAACCCCTCACCTCACGCTTTATATACTTTTCTTACCACTTGAACTCACGACTGCTGAAGTGCGATCGCAGAGAAACTGTTGGTTGTAGGTCTGAACGCTGCTGCAGCTGTCAAAATACGATTATTTTTATTTCGTAAAATGTTACCAGCATTTTGGACCTCCTGTCGAGTGATGTCATGTTTCACAGCTTGATTCAGAACTCTATATTTACTCTATATTTACAAGTCACGTCAAACCACTATGTATTAAAATCCATTTGACAAGGTCTTTGCTCTCAAAACAGGTTGGTTCTATCACTAGTTTTTACAAGCAAGTTTTTTTTTCCTTTTTTTACCTCGACCATTTTCTCAGTCAGAGTGAAAAGAAAGGACTATTCTTGCTCAGCCCAAAGGATCAAAAAGTGACTCAGAATGCTCTTTTTTGCCAAAGATACCATGTTTTTTACGATGAAGCTTTGGTGGTTTTATTTGTTCACAATGTGTCACTTTCTGTTCGAACCACAATTCATTATTAAACACCTCGCAGAAAGCAAAGATATACTGTAAACCGCATCTATCCATCTGTCTGTCTTTTCATTCATCCTTCCTTTCCTCTATCTATCTCTCTATCTGTCTCTCTCTATATCTCTTTCTCTATCTGTTACCCCAACTTTTCCTCTCATAACTCCCACAAAACAAAGATATAGACCCTATCTATCACACTATATCTATATCTGTCTCCATCTCTATCTCTCTCTCTAAATCATCTGTTTATCTGTATAACTGACAATTCTAGTTCAAAGCCCACTCAGAAATCATTTGTGACATTGGAAACACGTGCCTTTTGTGGCGTTGTCTCTGTCCAGGGTGCTGAAACACTCCATGGATGCCACGTACGAGGACCAGGGCCCCAGCCCCGGCTTCCGCATGGAGACATCCATCTTCTACGTGGTCTACTTCGTGGTCTTCCCCTTCTTCTTCGTCAATATTTTCGTGGCTTTGATCATCATCACGTTCCAGGAGCAAGGCGATAAAGCCATGTCCGACTGCAGTCTGGAGAAAAATGAGGTAAACAGTGGATTGTACTGTGTGAAAAAGATAGACTGCTATACTGGCAAATAATGTTTTTTTTATTTCTTTACCATATTTCTAAGATTATGAACTTCTCTCACTCATTTTTAGTGGTTGTGTGAAGCTATTCTATTATAATAATTGTAATAATAAATATATAATGATTATACTGATTGTATTGTGCTTCTCTATAAACTACTACTGTAGGCACAGCTGCCCTGAGGCACAATGACAGAAGCCATAGCTGCTTGTTAAAGCCTGATCCAGTCAGACCTATGAAGCTGTGCAGGGCAGCACCTGGTTAGTACTGTGATGGGAGACCTTTGGGAACACGAGGAGCCACGGTGGAGCGGCTGCGACTGTAAAGTGATAAACTTTAGACACTTCACTCACATTAGAAGGAGTCTGGTGTGTATGAAAAGCTGGGGGTGCTTGTAGGGGCTAATGGCACAGACTGGTCACCTTACTTCTGTAAATTTTCCCCAGGGCAGCTGTGGCTACAGTAGTATTTTACCACCACAGTGTATGGAGTGAATGAATAATGAAATGTGAAGCGCCCTTGAGTGTCCAAAATAGCGCCATACAAAAACCGATGCATTCTAACAAACGCACAGAAGTTGCATTAGTTACTTGTTCTCGCCTGTATCTGTCTATTGCGTCACCGTCTCCAGTCTCCAGTGGATTGAACTGAACTCACGATTGCCTGGAACACAGCTCGGTCTGTTGGGTCCGGCTCCTCTCATCTGGACTTCACAGAGACTTGCTTAAAATCACTGGGCTTTTGTCTGCGCCGCACTGGCCCCCGATCACACGCCTGTAAATTGCGGCCCTGTCTTTTGATATTGCAAAACGCTCTGGGTTACAAATAGTGTGCCATTGTTCCCGCCGGCTTTCATGTTTCCAACGTCCGTGTTTTTGAAGGAAAACAAGATGTCACAAATTAGACGTTTATTGTCACCCACCACCAGAGTTTAGCGCACATAACAAATCATCAATAAAAGATCAAAGTGTTCCAAATGTAACTGTGGAGTTTATTTTTTTGTAAGGGGAAAAGAGTTCTGGTTTTAAAGCCAATATGATAGAAGTAACTCACATTCCACTGAAACAAGATCAATTTAAAGCTAAGGTACCCAACTACCACACTACAGAAACTAACCCTAACTACAGATGCAAACATAAGCTAGCTGTAGCCAATGTCCTTATATGGGCATTTGTTTTGACAGCGTTAGCGTTTGCCACAACAGGGGAAGATGTTAGTTAGTTAAGTACTTTATTTATCCCCTGTAGGAGAAAATCAGGTGTCCGGTAACAGCAAAAACACATCCATCAACACAAACAAAACTTGATCATTCTGAGAAGCTAACACTAGTAGTCATGTGTTGTGGAAGTGGTTCCTAAGGCGAGCTGGAGTGGCCCATGTGTATGAAGGCATCTGATTGGTCCATCCTTTTCTGGCTCATATCTCAATCTACAATAAGACAATATTAAAATCGAAACACCAGGATCACAGAGAGCAATTTACCACAGATTATTTAAGCCCAAAATGGTGAGTGTGACATAAATGGTTTGAGGAGTTTACTTTGGGAAGACAAGAGCGAGTCGGATCAAAACTTCCAAGAGCTCTTCCTTATCGGGCTTCATAGAGATAGCGGGTTAGCATTGTCCATCTGTATATAGTCTATGGGACCACCCTTACTCTCCCAAATTTTGAATACTCACTTGGCACAGTGGCTGAGCGGATAGCACTCTCGCTTCTCAGCAAGAACAGGGTCTTTATGAGTGGAGTTTGTATGTTCTCCCTGTGCCTGCGTAGGTTTCCTCTGGGTGCTCCGGTTTCCCCTACCACTCAAAACATGCACAATATAGGTAATATGTGGTCCGATTTGCTTCTACCTTTACTCATCTCTTTCTGTTGGGACAAACAACACAATTATTTATGTCTCCTTTTGTTTTGCGTCTGCTTGTTTCCAGAGAGCCTGCATTGACTTCGCCATCAACGCCAAACCCCTGACCAGATACATGCCGGACAACAAGCAGTCGTACCAGTACAAGCTGTGGAAGTTTGTGGTGTCCCCTCCGTTTGAGTACGCCATCATGACCCTGATCGCCCTCAACACAGTGGTGCTCATGATGAAGGTGAGCCACGCAGCAAGAAGGTTTTGGGTTCGATTCCGCTCCCAGTGTCTGCGTACGCTGGTGTTTGAATGTGTGTGAGTAGGTGATTAGTTCCTTGCTGTGTAGTGCTTTGAGAACCTACTTGCATGCAAAAGCCAGATTCAGTCAGACCTCTGAAGCAAAGCAGGACAGGGCCTGGTTAGGACTGTGATGGGAGACCTCTGGGAACACCTGGTGATACAGTGGGGCGTCTGCGGCTGTAAATTGCCAAACGGTTGTGCGGTTGTTGTGTCCTTAGGCAAGCCACTTCACCCACATTGCCTAGAATGCGTCTGATGTGTGTGTGAATGGTTGGTGGTCGGAAGGGCCAATGACACATACTGGTTGCCTTGCTTCTGTCAGTGTGCCCCAGGGCAGCTGTGGCTACAATAGTAATTTATCACCACTGTGTTTGGAGGGAATAATGATATATGAAGCGTCTTTGAGTGTCCTGAAAAGTGCTGTATAAAACCAATGCATTATTGTTGTTATTATTATAAATGCGACCATTCACCATTACCATTTACTAATCACTGTCTTGATAATAAAAACAGACTAAAAATCTTAATCTGACTTAACTTAAACGGCCCCGAACTCCTCAACAAAGCCTTCATCTTCACCCAAACTTTAAAGAACCATTAAATATTTTTCCAAGATCCATTTTACTTACATTAGAAATTACAATTACATTCAGACCCTAGTATCTTGTGACACGGTGGAGCAGTATTTAGGTCCTGTGTGGACTGATGTTCTCCCCGTGTTTGCGTAGGTTTCCTCTGGGTGCTACGGTTTCGCCTACCACTAAAACATACACAACCAGAATAGACGACAATGGTAAGAAGTGCAGCAGTAGCTCTTCGTCACCGAGTGTGGAGTAAATGGGATAAAGATGTTTGTATGACCCTGGTCTGTGAAATGAGGTGTATAAATTAACACTACTTACTCGTATGCGGCCATATTGATTTGCCGCCCAACGCAACATCTGTGTCACCACTATTACAACCTTAAAAAACCCTGTTACCATGGAGAGACTTTTTCCAGACTCCTCCTGATTGCCGTGCCATTAAACATACATTACACACAAGTTGATTTGACACCTGCCCCATGTTTGGCCCTTCAATAATTTAGCAAAGTTCTGGCTAAAGGCAGGGTATGTGTGAGTGGCGCTGTCTCTTTTTTGTGGATGCGAGTTGGTGGCTGAATGTTTGTATTTCCTCTGGAGACGAGAGCAGCCGACCTGAGATCAGCGAGGCACCGACAACAGCAGCGCTCCTCTATCCATCAACACTGAGGCCCTCGCAGTCTGCTCTCGGCCCCTCTGCTAATGGAGCGCACTGGGCTTAAGAAAAAACTGGTGTCTTGTACAGTTTATTTTAAGCACCACGGCAAAATGTATACCCTTTTGATTTGAAAAAGAAAAACAAACAGGGAATGATCCAACTTGCAACAGTAACATTGTAGGTGTACTTAGTGTATATTGTCTTTTATCCATGGCTCCATAACTTTTGTGCAACTTGAGCCATAGTAAGTTCCTACGTAGTTTGTGACTTCCTGTTAATACAAATTCTGTAACTGCAATATAGTGTTCACCTTGTTTCAGCTACAATACATTACAATACAATTTATTCTTGTATCGCCCTAAATCACAACAGAAGTCATCTCAGAGGGCTTAACAAAACCATTGAAATCACCAACACAGATCAGAGAATCAACAGTTAAAACACAAAAAGAACATAAACACATGTTAAAAAATGTCCATACATGTTGTAGAATGTTAAAGTGTCCTGGATCATCACCACATCCATTTTTTTGGACACTAACTTTCCAACAGACCCTCCTGCATCTGCAAGGAAAAACTCAATGGGAAAAAAGTGAGAAACCTCGGGGAGACCCACAATTTGAGAAAGGGATCCGCTCCCACGGACGGACAGGCTAAAGATCCAGGACCTAAGCTATAGAACGTGGACCAGCGGTCGTTAAACGTGGACAGGTCCGGTGCAGGACTGAAGCACTCCCAGGCGGGCTGGGCAGGGCAGTCCGCAGGTGTAGATGGAGGAGGCCAGGTCCAGAGGTCCCGTCATCGTACCATGAAATAGACAGTAGGACAACGGGTGAATAGCAATGAACAAACTACAGTCAAAAACCTAATAATGCTAAACAGATAAAGTAGGAAGGAGGAGGATTTGAGAGTGCGGGCTGGCGGATACGGCCTTATTCAAAATGTATGCACTCCCAGTTATAATCTGTTAAAGACATGAATCTGTAACTCAGTCTGTATTGCTCAGCCTTCTTAACCTTGGGTCCAGGTTTGGTTCAATCCAAGCAACACCAGAAAAAATGTCAAAAATCCATTCTCAATGAAATAATATGTGTGTGTATGTGTGCTCTGGTCCCAGTTCTACGGCGCTCCGGACTGGTACGAATCCATGCTGAAGTACCTGAACATCATCTTCACCTCGCTCTTCACCCTGGAGTGTATCCTGAAGATTATCGCCTTCGGTCCCCTGGTATGACACCCATACGTCCCGGGTAAAAGACAAATCTAGAACTGTGACCTCGGCCTATCTGAATCAAACAATCCAAATGAGGGAGTGGCCTGTATGCTTCCAAATATATACATTTATAATACAAGCATGGCTTTTCCCTGTGCCCTTATGCAGGTCAATAAATCTGCCTTAGGATCTGTTTTACGTAGTTACATGTAAACTAATTAGATAGGGCGGTTTTTACTAGTGCCAACTGTCTTCCATGTATAGATCAAAATCTTGTCATATTTATCCATATACTGAAGAAATATTTCCCCATTTGAAACATTAAGATCGTTTTTTGGGGCAAAATGAACACAAATAATCCATCACTTACGGTATACAGTATATATTTTTCGAATCCATGAAATAATAAAAACCACACTCCTCAATCAGAGCTTTGTGCAGTGAAGCGAGGAGGATTCATGACAGAACTGGAGCTCTCCTCGTGGGTGTCACTGAGGAGCTGGACTCGGATCTGCTTCGTTGGTCAGGTCCATTTGGTAAAGAGCTTTTGGCACACTCCACTAGGCTCCACCTGTTCGGCTTTGTGTCCTCTCCCAGCAGCCGCTCATCCATTCTGCAGGGTCCAGCTGTGAGGTCCTGGCCACACGCATTCCTCCTCCAAACCAGTCCAAAACCAGGCAAGAGCCAGCCCAAAAACAGGCCAAAAACAGCCCAATACCAGTCCAATATCAGTCCAAAACCAGTCCTAAAAAGACCAGGATGGGCTGCTTCAGTCTTATTTTACAGTAGCAAGAAAAAATACTGTGAACCATCTGGACCTACCCACTATTTTGCAAAAAAAAATTGATAAAGGTTAGAACAATTTGTAAAACGGTGTTCCGATAAAAAATTTACAGATGAATATCACTTTCTCTAAACCTTTTAATCACGTCAGTTCAATGTTTCATTACTTTTTGCACAATTACAAATGTAGTTTTTGTTTATTGATATGGAAAATATCATTGTTTGAAAGACCCATGACTTTCACCATCACAAGTGACATGTTCAAATGCAGGGAAGTAAGTGCAGAACAGAGGGGTGCCAAAAGAACCACTGCACATATATCAGTTTGGCCCAACAGTTAAGCCCTTTTTCCACCAGCCCTAATTACCCCTACTCTACTCTACAGAGCTCTACTCTGGTTGCATTTCCATTAGGTTTTAGGATCAAGTATTTCCCAGCATCCTACCAGCAGCACTCTGGCCAATCATTGTCAGTTTGAACCCTGTAATACCATCTTGGCCTGGACAGAACCAGGACCAAGCAGGCACTACAAAAGTACCTGGTACCGGTAAAACAGGACAGCTGGAAGGAATTGCTCCCAATCAGGGTAGAGTAAAGCCGAGTAGAGAAGAGTAAGGCCAAGAAGGGCTGGTGGAAATGGGGCTTTTGTGAATTGCATGAGGCAACACAAAGCAAGTTTATTTGTAGAGCACAATTCATACAAAAGGCATTCAAATCAGAGTGTGAGTAAAAAGAAAGATGAAAATATAAAACCCCTCAGCTAAACATAACTGTTTTTAAGATGGATTCAAACATTGTCAGAGCAGAGGCCTGTCTCACATTTTAAGGGATGTGGGTGTTTTGAAATGGTTCCTTTGTGGATGTTCTTGCAGAATTACCTGACGGCTGCCTGGAACGTGTTTGACTTTGTGACTGTGCTGGGCTCCATCACAGACATCCTGGTCACCGAGGTCAAGGTGGGTCCAACACTCCGCTTTTACATGCATTAGCCACGTTAGCTTAAATTTAGCTTCGAAAGGAGAGTTAGCGATATTGGACAGCGAATGCTAACTCTTCAAAATATCTTATGGCGCAACTATCGAAGCAACAAACGAGTTCTAAAACATTATTACCTGTGTTTGAAGTGTTTTGCCACTTCTCATTCACCATCTTCATTTGTATATCACAATTAGAAAATGAACATTAAAGCTGGGGTACCTGACTTTCAAACAATCACATGTTACCTATGCAATAGAACTAACTAACTAGTTCCTCGCTCTCAAAAAACTTCTCACATGCATGTATTTTTGTCCTCTGTCACATATTTATAGCAACTTGTTCAGAAAAAAAGTGAAAAAAGACCACTCTATGTATGCAAAACATAACTTGTTTTTTCTAATAAGACATTTTATTGGTACCCCAGCTTCATACACAGAACTTTACAGACTAAAGACGGCTTAAATTTGCTCACTGATTACCTTGAACAGGCATTTAGCTGTTTTTGTGCTCTGATCATATTCATGTACCGTTAAAACATTCAGCACTCTTTAAAGGGAAGTGTCGGTGAAATAAGTCTTATGCAGTGTTTAAAAGATTAGCAGTTTTTAAGGGGGCCCTAGAGTGGTTGTGACCCTCTTTGATCGTGTCTGCCACAGGCCAGTCCTGTTAATTAGGCTTGAGTCCCCCGGGTTTTAGCAAAGTGGCAAAGAAAAGTCTAAAAATCACCTCTAAACCCAGTGTCCAAATAATAAACGCAGAACTCCTAACTGTCATACAACCAAAGGCGACGAGTGAACTTTTTTATGACTGGATGGTCTTGTTGCATGAAGAAATCTTCTCTGTTAACCATAGACAGTATCTTAGGAGTGGACTGACCGAGTGCTGACGTCTCCATAGTTTTCCCCGAAGTGTAAGAGGCCGATTTGAACATAAGCTAGCTGGTGCGGATTTCCTCATGCAGGCATTTGTTTTGATTGTGTTAGCTTCACGCTGTAGCAGGATCAGGCGTGTTGCTAAGATGGTTGCTAAGGCAAGCTGGAGTTTCCCCTGCAAATGAAGAAACCTGATTGGTCAATCCTTATCGCTCATATCAAAACGAAAAACCAGGATGACAGAGAGCGCTAAACTACAGATTTTTTAGGCCCAAAATGGTGAGTGTGACATAAAGAGTTAATGAGCTAGAGACCAGATGACCGTGGTGTAGACGGTTCCTCTACTGGTGAGGTGATGATGGGGAGGAGGTGGGTTGCGGCACGAACAGCAACTTGATGCGTGGACTGTCAGGTCTTGCCAATCAGTTTTCTCCCCATACCCTTCTGTTCAATGTGAAATTCCACAACAAATAATGTGATATGGGACTATAAAACCGTGATGTGCTTAACCGTGATGTGCTTGTGGTCACTGCTCTGCTTGTGTCTTCTCTCTCCGTGTGCGTTTGTGTGTGTGTTTGTTTGTTTGTGTGTGTGTGTGTGTTGTTTGTGTGGCATCTCCGTGTTTCGCTGCTGCCTCTGTGCCCCGCCCCGCTGTTGTGCGCTGCTGTCACGGCTGCAGACGGTAAGTGCTTCTCTGGTCGCGCTCCGTTCCTTCGCCGAGGGTTTCTCGAGTGCCACTTAACCCGACACAGCAGTTCTATTGTTCAGCTGATGTGAGATCCGTGAAAGTCGGAGAGGGTCGCAAATATGATCGTTCAGACGTAAACACTTCATTTGTTATGTAAAAAGCTGCTCTAGTATACGAAGAGCTTTCTATAATTTGTGCCTGCTGTTTGGCATTCTTTCTCCTTACTTTTCAAAAAGTTTGCATCTGGTGAAACTCCTCTGGATCGCCGCGTACAACTGTGTAGTCCAGTTCCTGTTAATATCCAGCAACTTGGAACTAACACCAGATACTAACTGGATTTCCGACAACTAAATAGTGTCTTGATACGCCAAAACAGTGACCTTAACCCTAACTCTTAAGGTAAATATTCTCATGTTGACGCTATTTCTGTCTTATAATTTGCATTTAAGCATCACAATCTGTTTACGGTTTGGATTAGCATCATGGTTATGGTTAGAAATTGCTATTTTTGCATGACCGAGAGCACTAAAGATGGCCAGAATGCATCACTTGTGCTGTTTATGAGACGTACAATGATCGCAGGCCATTGATTTGAATGGGCGGACATCTTGGAGACCCAGGGGCTTGGTGGGAAGAGACATGGAGAAATTTTTTCTCACTTTGTCTCAGATCATGAAAAACAAAAGTAATATTTTCCTCCGCTCTTCCCTCCACCATCTTAAGGGAAGCTAACAGAACACAGCACGTCTAGAATTAAAACAGGCATTTACTTATTTTAATATTTTCATTATTTTTTAAGACCATTAACATAGACGGTAGTAAGAAAGCCAATACCAGCATGGTGTATGTATACTGTTTACCTTGTCCCACAGAAGCATGCGCCAAGAACTGTGTTTCCCAATCTGTGGTGCGCGGACCCCATTACAGTATTACAGAGAATTATTAAGTATTAAGGAGGAAGGAAAAGATTCATGATAATAATAAATGGTCTATTGGTGTGCAATAACATCACCTTTCTTGCTTTAGGATCAGTTTTGGTTCAGTCCAAGCACAAACTCATTTCGTTTTGAGAAAAATAACGAAACAAACTCTGCATAATATTAACAAATACAATTAATTATGAATATTCTAATGGTAGCGAAGAGGAGCTATCAATTTTTGTTTTTGTATGTTATGTAAAGTTTCCAAAAAATCTCTATATACAGTGCCTTGCGAAAATATTTGGCCCCCTTGAACCTTTCAACATTTCGCCATATTTCAGGCTTCAAACATAAAGATATCAAATTTTAATTTTTTGTCATGAATCAACAACAATTTGGACACAATCGTGAAGTGGAATGAAATTTGTTGGATAATTTAAACTTTTTTAACAAATAAAAAACTGAAAAGTGGGGCGTGCAATATTATTCGGCCCCTTTACTTTCAGTGCAGCAAACTCACTCCAGAAGTTCAGTGAGGATCTTTGAATGATCCAATGTTGTCCTAAATGACTGATGATGATCAAGTCTCCGTATAAATGCACCTGCTCTTTGATAGTCTCAGGGCTCTGTTTAAAGCGCAGAGAGAACCATGAAGACAAAGGAACACACCAGGCAGGTCCGAGATACTGTTGTGGAGAAGTTTAAAGCCGGATTTGGATACAAAAAGATTTCCCAAGCTTTAAACATCTCAAGGAGCACTGTGCAAGCAATTAAATTGAAATGGAAGGAGTATCAGACCACTGCAAATCTACCAAGACCCGGCCGTCCCTCCAAACTTTCATCTCAAACAAGGAGAAGACTGATCAGAGATGAAGCCAAGAGGCCCATGATCACTCTGGATGAACTGCAGATAACTACAGCTGAGGTGGGGATGGTGTGTTCAGGGTGATGAGCTGTGTTGCTTTTACGCCAAACATATCGTTTTGCATTGTGGCCAAAAAGTTTGATTTTGGTTTCATCTGACCAGAGCACCTTCTTCCACATGTTTGGTGTGTCTCCCAGGTGGCTTGTGGCAAACTTTAAACAAGACTTTTTATGGATATCTTTGAGAAATGGCCACTCTTCCATAAAGGCCAGATTTGTGCAGTGCACGACTGATTGTTGTCCTATGGACACTGTCCCACCTCAGCTGTAGTTATCTGCAGTTCATCCAGAGCGATCATGGGCCTCTTGGTTGCATCTCTGATCAGTCTTCTCCTTGTTTGAGATGAAAGTTTGGAGGGACGGCCGGGTCTTGGTAGATTTGCAGTGGTCTGATACTCCTTCCATTTCAATATAATTGCTTGCACAGTGCTTCTTGAGATGTTTAAAGCTTGGGAAATCTTTTTGTCTCCAAATCCGGCTTTAAACTTCTCCACAACAGTATCTCGGACCTGCCTGGTGTGTTCCTTTGTCTTCATGGTTCTCTCTGCGCTTTAAACAGAACCCTGAGACTATCAAAGAGCAGGTGCATTTATACGGAGACTTGATTACACACAGGTGCATTCTATTTATCATCATCAGTCATTTAGAGCAACATTGGATCATTCAAAGATCCTCACTGAACTTCTGGAGTGAGTTTGCTGCACTGAAAGTAAAGGGGCCCAATAATATTGGACGCCCCACTTTTCAGTTTTTTATTTGTTAAAAAAGTTTAAATTATCCAATAAATTTCGTTCCACTTCACGATTGTGTCCCACTTGTTGTTGATTCATGACAAAAAATGTAAATGTTATATCTTTATGTTTGAAGACTGAAATGTGGCAAAATGTTGAAAGGTTCAAGGGGGGCGAATACTTTCGCAAGGCACTGTAATTAAATTGCAAAAACACCAGAATGAGTGTGTACCCAGGGGTATTTGAAATTGTACTTATGCCTTGTCTATGTTGACGAGGGGCACACAGAGCTAAAAGGTTGGGGATAACTGCTGTTGAAGTATGTATTTTTCTGTATTTTTTTTTTTTACTTCTAATTTCCATGTGTGGCTTTTAGGACAAGATGATCAACCTAAGTTTCCTCCGTCTGTTCCGGGCGGCGCGGCTCATCAAGCTGCTGAGACAGGGGTACACCATCCGCATCCTGCTCTGGACCTTTGTGCAGTCTTTCAAGGTGACCAGACCAGACCGCTTTGATTCAGTACAGAGCATTTCATCTATATATATACTGTACTAGGAGGCTCTTCAAGGCAACTACGGCTGTTATTATCGAGAACAATGGCACAACACTAAGACATCATTATCTGTAGCAGCGTTCCAAGAAGCCTATCTTTTAAAATTGTGATGGAGGCAAGCTGACAATTTCTTTCTAAGTAACTATGGGAACTGCCTTCATTTAAAGATATTTTGAAAAACGGTTTTCCACACCCTCTGTGTCATTTAACTGTGGTCCCTCTGGTCTCTCTTTGGTCTCTCTCTCTCTCTGGTGTCTCTCTTGTCTCTGATCTCTCTCTGGTCTCTGTCTTGTCCCTGGTCTCTCTCTAGTCTCTGCTCTACTATTTATTCTCTTGAAGGTGTCTAGAAGTGGTGATATGTTTTAAAAAACATGTGCATGATGTTGTCCAGTAGAAAGCACTTTAAGACATAATACAAATTTAACTTCTCTATTCATCTAACACTATCAAATAAGGATGTGGGAAAATATGTTATTTTTAAAGTAGCTTGTTGTTTCGGCACCTGCTGAAATAGAATTCTACTTCTAGAGTTGCTGCTTCAATGTCCAGTATTGATACATGATTCTGCTTCGTCCTCAGGCGCTGCCGTATGTGTGCCTCCTCATCGCCATGCTCTTCTTTATCTACGCCATCATCGGGATGCAGGTTGGATTGAATCTCATAATTGTATTCTGTATTTCTATGTTGTACGGTATTCTGCCTGTTATTGTATGTTGAATGGTGGGAGAGAGGGTTGGCATAAAATAAGCGTCCCTTTCATTCAACCCCTTTTCCGACCTATTAGTATGAAATTCTATTCTGCAGGTATGAAATAAACATAACTAACTATTGTTTGAAATCTGTGTCCTATAGTGACATTTAGTGAATTCACTTGATAGCTGGCTCTATAAATGTATGGCTCTAATTATGTCTATTCTTTTGTGCTCTGTATATTGCCTATGTCATGGACTGGTAGAAAAACTCTTGCAGGGAGTTCTCTTGTTGCTGAAGGTTGCATAAGGTGCACACTTGCCCCACTTTACATCATTAAAACTATCATCCCTGCACGTGTACCGCAGTATTTAACACAGCAGACTGGAAGCAGACAAGCATGACAAGCTTCGCCCTGTAGTGATTCTATGACACCTATGGATAATATATATTTTTAGACACAACATTTTGCTTCTATGTGTCCGCAGAAACTGGTTAGATTAGATTATATGTATATGTATAGGTATACTGTAGGTAAGAAATAATACCATGAGAACACAATAGTTTTATTCCTGTCTTTCACGTCTCTCTCTCTGGTCTCTGCTACTGCGGTCTTCCCGTAGCCCTCAGCACTCTGTTCTCTGCAGCTTTATTTTACAGTGTATGCACGGCTTTTGACAGGTACGGCTTCTACAACCTACAGCAATCATAAGTTCAATTGTTTGGTGAGGGGTTTTACAGCCTTAGGAAATATGGTAGCATTGCACACTCAGCTCAGATGTCCAAAATATTATGGCTTTATGCCTTTCTGTTTTTCTTTTGACCACAAAATACAAAGCGGCGGCCTGCCCAGGTGCTCATATGCCTCCAAATAAGTGGGAGGTCGCAGTGGGGGTTTTATTGCCTTAAACATAGAGCTGATACTTCAAGGATTTCACTTATTGCGGGTTATTTTTAAGACATTTTTCCTGTGATAAACCAGGGACTGTACACCAAGTTAAAATAGTATAAACATCTCCCTAAATACCTTGAGGTTATCCATCCAAGGATGTTCTGGTGACTCATCCGTGCATCACAGAATGAGAAAAGAAAATTGGTTAACAAATTAATTACTGTCTTTTTTTGCGTACTTGTATAACTGATATAAAAATGTGACAGAGACCAAAAATACATGCATCCCTGTAAAATTCTAGAAATAGAAGAAAACAGATTTGAGAGCGTGGAACTATCGATGGATTTTTACATCATTCCAGTGTTTGTTCTTTTGAAAAATACTGTATTGCTTTAATTATTTTTAATTCAAACCTATAAAACGTGTATTTTCCCCCCAGGTTTTTGGTAACATTGAGTTGAATGATGAGACTGCCATCAACCAGCACAACAACTTCCAGACGTTTTTCCAGGCCTTGACGCTCCTCTTCAGGTCCGCTCATGTCCCCGGATGTATTTCACTTTTAAACATGTGTCAATGGCATTCGTCTCTAACTGTTTCGGTCTTCTTTCTGACTCGCTGTGGTCAGGAGTGCTACTGGAGAGGCCTGGCAGGAGATCATGTTGGCCTGCCTCAGTAACCGGCCGTGTGACCACCTCTCCGGAACCACGGGGAAAGAGTGCGGCAGCGACTTTGGCTACTTCTACTTCGTCTCCTTCATCTTCCTCTGCTCCTTCCTGGTGAGATTAGAAATACCAAATACTAAAGGCCAACCAATAGGTTTTTTTGTTTTTTTTCTACATTTAATTTATTGGCTTTTCACAGTTTGACAATACGACAGAAAGTACAGGACCTTTAAATGTACAGTATCTGATTGATATATTCTATTGGATATGCTGTATGTATTTTACGTTATGTAGAGAAAATGCTGAGAAAAATAGATAACACACAAAAGATAAAGAAACGTTTTCATAGACTATAGTAAGAAAACATATAGACCATTAAAGTGGTCAGACCAATTTTTACCCATAAGGGTTTTTTTTTGGTATAGTTCTGCATTTTCAACCTTGTTTTAATTCTGCACTTGTCTTTTGCGGATGTCGCAAATTTAAATGGCAAATAAAATGGCAAATAAAATGAATCTGAATCTGAAGGAGGGAGATGACATAGAGCAGGGGTCTCCAACCTTTTTCAACTGGAGAGCTAATTTTACAAGACGTAAAAAGCTACTCCCTTCTGAGGTCGTAATGAGAATGTTGTTTAAAACCATGGACTTGTATGAAAAATATACAATTTAACTGTTTATCTAAAAATATTAACATTTATGAGTGAAAACAGATGAAATATTGAGTATCAGACAGTCTTTTGGTGAGCTATCTGAAATAAGGTGGCGAGCTACCGGTGGCTCCCAAGCTATAGGTTGGAGACCACTGACATAGAGGTGATAAAAATTTGAAGGGAAATTTTAACCCTTTCGTCTCGATCCCAGTGCGTTACAGCGCCACCTACAGGTCTGGCATAGTCTCACCTCGTTTTCAGGCTTATTGACTTCATCCATGTGAACGCAAACATTCACTGGGCTTACTCTTTGTGTGGATGTGGCCTGAGACTGCATTTCCTCCTGCAGATGCTGAATCTGTTTGTGGCCGTCATCATGGATAACTTTGAGTATTTGACCAGAGACGCCTCCATCCTGGGCCCTCACCATCTGGACGAGTTCATCCGTGTGTGGGCAGAGTACGACCCCGGGGCCTGGTACGTCCACTCCTCCTCGATATTGTTATTTTATTAATATTTAGCTTTGAAAAGGATGCGTTCATGTGACATCACAACATTCCCAAGAGCGTATATTTCACATTGCGGTAGAGAGCAGTTGAAACATATTCCTTGGTAACTGTGGTAACTGTCCAGAGTCAGATTCTAGTCTTAGTTTTTTGATAATTAATCCCTGGGCCAATCCACAAAAAACAGCCCAATTATGGTCAAATTATTTTCTCACAAAGGTGTACAGAAATGGTCTCTCTCTCTACTCTCTCTGGTCTCTCTCTGGTCTCTCTCTAGTCTCTCTCTCTCTCTCTCTGGTATTTATCTGGTCTCTCTGGTCTCTCTTGTGTCGCTCTCTCTCTCTCTGCTTTCTCTGGTCTCTCTTTGTTCTCTCTCTCTTGTCTATCTGTTCTTTCTCTGGTCTCTCTCTCTCTCTGCTCTCTCTGTTCTCTTTCTCTGCTCTCTCTGGTCTTTCTCTGGTCTCTTTTTGGTCTCTCTCTCTGGTCTCTCTCTGGTATTTCTCTGATCTCTCTCTGGTCTCTATTTGGTCTCTATCAATTAGGGTCTCATTATTTTTATCATAAAGAAGTTTAGAAGTGGTGATGTTGCATAATAATACTACAGCTTTGTGAATGTAATCACTATCAAATAATATTTTGGTTAAAAAAATATATTTTTCAACATTTCTTTAAACAATATTGCTTCTTTCCCATGAAGGTGTATTGACACCTGTCTCCAGCTGAAATAGAATCAAACCTATAGATAGTGATATGTAGAAGCATAGAGGTAGCAACCCACTGTAATGTAAAATTCTAATGAAAACCGTTTTTTAAACTTTCTTAAAAATGCTGTACCAGTTTATTCCCATGCAGTTTTATTCCTGACCCATGACATCGTGACCCATGCCCTCTCCGGTGGATGTTGTAGCACCGTGGCGATTACCCTTTGTCCTGGCCGTCTGCCGGTCTCTCCACTTCTTCCACAGCTTCCAATTTTAGATGCGCTCCGAGGACTTCAGTCGCTTCTCACCTTTGCCCACTTTTTTCTCCAGCACGTAACTTATTTCTTTGGCAGGAAGAAGAATAAACGTTTGAGCATTGGACAGTACTTGTGTTACTTAAAGCTGGGGTATCTAACTTTGTATCGACAGAAAGAGGCTTGGGGGGGAGGAACTATTTACATGTATTTTATGACATAGTTCCAGTTTTTCTGATTTGAAAGTTATGCACCTTAGCTTTAAAGGTCTTGTCTCTCTCTCTCTGATCTCTCTTTCAAGTCTCTCTTTCTTGTCTTTTGCTCTGGTGTCTCTCTCTGATGTCTCTCTGGTCTCTCTTTATAGCCTGTCTCTCTGGTCTCTCTCTGGTCTCTCTCGGTCTTTCGCTTGTCTCTCTCTGTTCTCTCTTGGTCTTTCTCTGGTCTCTCTCTGGTCTCTCTCGGTCTTTCGCTGGTTTCTCTCTGTTCTCTCTCGGTCTTTCTCTGGTCTCTGTCTTTGGTCTCTCTGAGTCTCTCTCTGGTCTCTCTCTGGTCTCTCTCAGTCTCTCTCTGGTCTCTCTCTGTTCTCTCTCGGTCTCTCTCTGGTCTCGCTATTGTCTCTCTCTTGCCTCTCTCTTCACTGCGCTGTGACCTTAGAAGACGTATTAAGAAAGTCGGGGATTTGTTTTGATCCTTTCCTTTTGACACATCCCTTGGACGAAAAGCTGACATGGGTCCAAACAACACGGCAACCTTTCCCACTGTTGCTGACACCGCATTTCAGCTCCAGTCAAAACTTGTATGACAGCATCTTTGGACCGCTGCAAATTGTTTAAAATCAACAAATTATATTTTTCGACCAATTACATTTACCTATGAATGAATGAATGAATGAATGATGTGTATAATGGGCTTCCCTCAACATTTTTCAATATCTTCCAAATCAAACTGACAGCTCAATAGCAACGCAGAGAAGACGAGTGTTAAATGACACGGGACAAAGCCATGACAGGATATCGCCACATCGCCGATGAGAGCCTTGTGCGTTTTGGCTGAACGGCTTCTCGACGCAAAGCTAAAGCCTCTGGGAGCGGGCGCGTGGAGCGTGTCGAGGGTGGAGTGGAGTTATTTTTGTTTCGCTCGGTTCGGGGAAATCCACACTTGTGCCTTATGCGATATTCGCTAAGTTAAAAACCGCACAAGTTGCACCGAGGAAAAGATAAGAGCGAGCTACTGAGAGCAGCAGAAGCGGCGTGGGCGAATGGGTAATCTCCGGTAAAAGTGGAATTTGAATTTTGGCTTTTTTTCTTTAAAACCTGCCTGTACGTGAGCGGGGTAAGGATTAATAAGTGAGCCGTTATTCGTCTCACAGTGGGGAAAGTTCCGGGTTGTTTCACTAGTTACAGATCAGTAGGAATGCGGAGCACACAGAACAAGATAAGTGAATTATAACGCTGTAGGTATGGGCTAATGTGAAAAATCTAATTTAATTCTAATGTTGAAAGTGTTGACAAAAATACAGACAAAAGCTCTGAATTCAAAATACTATAACACGGATTGTTAAAGTCTTAGTTAGAGATTTACTGTATATGTCCTCATCCGACTGGTGGGGGAAAAACATGCCACCTTTATCAAGCCTCTTTCTGTTGGGACAAACAGGTATTATCACTGCCAACATTGTGCTCATATGACCGCCTTCATGTTTACAATGACAGTTCCATTGTTTTCATAATAAGCTTAAGTTACAAGTCTTATAAAACACAATAAATCCAGATGATCCCTTATAAATGACAAATCAGGGGCTTTCTGTCTTTCTGTCGGGACAAACAACTGTTATTATTAATGAACAAAAGAAAGTTTGGTACACCAGCTTTAGTAGATCAGGAGCACCGTCGTTGGTCTGGTTCACTTCAACTTGAAGACCGATGCTAGTCCTCTTTTGTTGTTGTTGAATATTCATGATATATTCTGTGTGAATAAACTATTTTCCTCTAATCAGACGAGGGGGCCTTCACCTTGTCTCACACGTGGGACTCACTTCTCCAGAGAGCACAGAGCAGTGAGGAACTCAGTCACCAAAACGCATTAGTGCAAAAAACCTGAATTAGAATCTTTTTTTTTTTCCTATTGCTATCGTAAGTAACAGGAAGTAACAAACTTGGAATTTACTCATGGTGCAAACAAGTCATATAAGTTAAAATCGTATTGTTATTAGTATTCATTTTGCTGCTCCACCACAAGTGTTCATGAGTCCTCAGTTTCTGAATAGAAAAAAACACAGTCAATGCTTGGATATAAAATCACCAAAAAAAAGTGTGTCCACGAGTCACTCAAATCAGTTTACATCCTTTGAAACAGATCCCAAGTGAACCTACAAGTGTGAACGCTTGAGATAGTACATTGGATTTCTAAATAATCTAGAAATACTCTTCTGTTACATGTGTATAACTGCATTTTGTGATTTTTGTGATTTGTGAACCAGCAGCAGTGAAATAAAGAAACAGGACTTCACACTTCACTTGAGTCCAAACAGATGCTACGAGCGCTAACATGCTAACACTCTCTTGTTTGTTTTGCAGCGGGAGGATTTGCTATCGGGACATGTACAAACTGTTACGCTTTATCTCCCCGCCCCTGGGCCTGGGGAAGAAGTGCCCCAACAGAGTGGCCTATAAGGTTTGAACTGGCACCTCCACCTGGCCCCTTAGCTCCCACAACCACCTCTCCGAATCAAAACACAAGATGGCAGCTAACTGTGCGCGGCCTGGACAATGCTAGCAGTCTGGCTCCGGTGAATGGGGCCGCGGGCTCATCACTGCGGTGGTGGGAAGAGCCCAGACCAGAGTTGCTGAGCATTGTTGCCAGATCTGCTGTTGCTGCCATTGTTTCAGCATGCGGGAGGTTGTTTTAAAGGGACAAGCCGATGAGATAAAGCGTGGGCTTTTGAAGGCGGTTCACGAGGTATTTAAGTCGATAAAATAAAATAAAATAAAATTTATTTTTGCATAGCCCTAAATCACAACAGCAATGATCTCGGAGGACTTAACAATGTGGTTGACTTGCCAACACAGAGCAGAAAATCAAACCTTTCAAACATAGGAAATGTGATGATAAAAAAAAAAATACAGAGTCATTGGTCCAACAACTCAGTTATTGACGTATTAGCATTGGATTTGATGAGGTGTTTTGAAGTAACTGGAATTAGTGAAAATATGTTTTCAAAGAACTAGTAAAAACCGGTTTAATTAGCTTGAGCAAGACGCATGTAAACCCAGGCACTGCTATTGAGGTCTGTTTTAACCAGGTTAGCCGGATAAGACTGAGACAAGGCCACCAGATGCAATCAAGAGCACAGCGAAAAGCCAAACATGTTGTGGAAATGAAATTATTTGTGCTGCTGAGTCGAGCCTGTGTGAAAATCAACTGCTCAAAGTCAACAAAATATTGTCAACATTGTGGACATACTGTATCTATTGATATTTACAAAGGCAGTTCCAAAGTTTCAGTATTATGTTGAAGTTACAAGGCTTACAGTAAAACTCTGTTGCTCTTAAAACGTTGCCTCAGAACCGTACACATTTCAGAACACTATATTTAACAAACACTCCTTCAGAAGTCCCGCTTCTGACGCGGCCGATCCCTTTAACGAAACCTGCTCTTGATCTCAAATGCATTTCTCCTCCAGGATCCAGCTTGAAGGGATGCATTCTGGCATGGTTTTTTTCCCGTTGACAAAAACCTAAAACCCTGGAAACCTTATTTAACAAGGCTTTCTGTGTCTCCTCTTCTGTCCTCTCATGTGACGGTTTTGCCTGCACTTCCTGTCTCTCCGTAAAAAACCCCGCCCTCTTTCCTCTGTGTTGCCGCCGGTGAAGTGGTCGCATCCGTTACCGGGATATGTACCACATGTTCCGCGACATGTCCCCTCCGCTCGGGCTGGGGAAGAAGTGTCCGGCTCGGGTGGCCTATAAGGTAGACTCTCACCCCTCTCCTGATCCTTGTGTGTGATTTTATAGCTAATTGATTGTTAAATGTGAATCAATTCTGTCAAAGATCCGAGTAAGTACAGTACAGTATGTGTGAACAGAAATTACGGCAATGGAAAAGAATAGGAAATAGGTTTTAAAACAGGAGTGTGTAGGTGACATAGACTGAATATAGATGAACAATGCTTACCCACTAGCTCAAAAAGGCCCACAAGGGAAGTGTTCATGGTTGAAGTTTTGCTCCAACTTGCTCTGGCTCCTATTGACTTATGTTGAACTCTAGCTCAATAACCGTTTGTGGGATACAGTTCCAAATGTGATTGATTTCAGCCATTCTTTGGACCACAATATACTCAGTAAGTCTTGTTAAAATTGGTTGCATTTGTTTATGTGAAGAAAATTTCAAAAGATGCTGAGATTTGAAATTGTGTCTCAGCAGAAGACATGTTTTTTTGTTGTGACTCAGAAAAGCAACACGACCAGAGTTTTTGCAGTGTTTACACGGTTTTAAACCCACGCAATAATACAGCAGTTCCCCTCAGCATCTGCCACGTCGCATTAGATACGGTTGATTTGACCTTCAGATAATCAAAACAGCAAGAGGAAAATGACAGACTTCTGCAGAATGGTGTAATGACAACAGCTCAGTTTTAATATAATTGCATTTACAGATCCATAAGTATTATTAACACTGAGGTATGTTAAAACTTATTTTGTTACATGAATAATGTAAGAAGAAAGGGTAATATGTTACTGTATATGTAGGGGTGGGTGATATGGGCAAAAATAAATATTTAGATTTTTTTCCCCAACTCCTGATAACAATATTGTCACGATATCTTTAAAATCAATTATTACACAAAATGATCTGCAATGTTTTTCTTGCCAGGGCATCTATAGCGACAGTGTAGAACAACATACTTTAGCAGCTTTTTATTTGTAAAGTGCTTTACGAATCTTTGCAAAACATGCAGAAACATATATTAACATTACAAATCTAATTCATGTAACACAGGAAGAACACATCCTAAAAGGCTCTAATTGTAATATTTATTGGAGATATCTAAACCAAAAAAATGACAATAATGCGAAAAAGCATATCTTCAAATTCACTTTTGCTATATTATTGTCTATTATATATATCGGCCACCCGTAGTTATACTGTATGTACTTTCAGATTGTGACATACAGTCTATATCTTCTTTGAAAACCTGTTATCTCTTGCATATTTATTTACTATTTGACTCTTTGGGCTTAGAGCCAATTGGCCGATTGAGCATTGTCCTTTTTTTCACTTTTCTGTCTGTAAAAGTTGATCTGAAAAATGTGGCAAAGGCCAAAAACACTCTCCAAATGCATGTGGAAACTAGTGATAGATAATAACTGTTTTAGCGCTTTGTTATTACGCATAACCCTTCACACTGTACCATTTTAAGACAACGCATCTGCGGGTGAAAATAATACTAAACAGATGCTTTTGAACATTTTTGAACAACAGGATTAAATTGAATTCCAGATAGCGATTTACCCTGCTTTTCCAATGTAGTTTTACTGGAAATGGCAAAAAATCTGAATCTGAATCTTACTCTCATGTCCAAAAGAGCAGTCATGCGGCCTGGCCATGGCTCGAGGGGGTGACCGCGGGCCGCCCTCCTGAGCACTGGCCCTTCACTGAGCTGTCTGAAGCCATCACATCTGCAGCCGCACAGCCCTGGCCCTCTCTCCCGTGCGCGTGCCTCCAAAAATACCTTTTGTCAATGGACGCGGGCAAACATGCGCAGTGACACCCACCAGCCACGGCTCTATGTCCCTGCATTTCTCACCGCATTAGCATAGCCATTTGTCAAGTGGGTGTAATGGTCTGGAGTGGCGATTTGGAGTCGGGAGGTAAGCTGGGTTGGAGTGATTTTAGTTCAGTTTGGTCAAAATGTGACTGCCTTTTGCATAAATTCAATATATTAGTGTGAAATTTGAACTCCGGTTGCTTGGAAAAGTATTATGTGTATGTGAACAAGGCTACAACAGGTTGTCTTAAATCTTAAACTGGTTACCTTTTCCACGCTTGTAAGAAAGATTCACTATTTGACTGAGTATGGGTTGTCTTCTCTCTCACCTTTCTGGCTGAAAAAGCAGATTTCTAACATGTGAGAGATATACATGTGAAAACTAATGATAGAAGAAAACTGTTTTGATAGCAGTTCAATGGATTTCATAACTTGAGCCCCGTTTCCACCAGCCCTACTTGGCCCTACTCTACTCGGCTCTACTCTACCTACTTGTGTTTTCATTACGCTTTCGTATCTGTTACCTTATCCTAGCAACCTCCCCACAACAAACCAGCATCCTGGGATAATCGTTGGTGACCAGAACCAAGAGGGACTAACTGGGCCCGGTTCTCACAGGACCAGTTAAAAAGGGCCTGTGAAAACGACTAGAGTAGACTAGAGTAGACTAGAGTAGACTAGAGTAGAGGAGACTAGAGTAGACTAGAGTAGACTAGAGTAGACTAGAGTAGACTAGAGTAGACTAGAGTAGACTAGAGTAGAGTAGAGTAGACTAGAGTAGACTAGAGTAGACTAGAGTAGACTAGAGTAGACTAGAGTAGACTAGAGTAGACTAGACTAGAGTAGACTAGAGTAGACTAGACTAGACTAGACTAGAGTAGACTAGAGTAGACTAGAGTAGACTAGAGTAGACTAGAGTAGACTAGAGTAGAGTAGAGTAGACTAGAGTAGACTAGAGTAGACTAGAGTAGGGCTGGTGGAAACAGGTCTATAGTTTCATTGTTGAGGTTTGAAGATTAAGTACCCCAGCTTTAATAGGGGTTTCGCACTAACTACTTCCGTCTTCAAAATTATGGTAATCAGGACACTTTCATGAGACATTCTGCAATCACAACCTTAACTATCTTTTTTCTCATAAAGATATTACTCACTGCCGTACTGTGTTAGAAATAGAACCATGAAAGCATTGAACAAAGTGGTGTAATTAAAAGCAGCAGTGGTTATGGCGGAGAATGATGGGCATGTGGTGACTGCACACGTCGTGCAGGGACCACAGGTTCATGTGGACGTTTTAATCATGTCATATATACACGTCTTAACATTCACATATTCACGTATATATTAGTAGATTTCACTTCTGTAGTTTAGCTTAGCCCGTTTGAAAATCCCAGATGAGGGAGGGCAATGCGGTGGGAAGTGGGGAGAAGAGAAGGGGTGTTGGGGATGTGATATTGTACGTCACATTATGACTTCCTGTTGCGCCCGCTGTGACTTTCAAATTTTTGCACACGTCTCTACCTGCAGTCGCATACTTTCGCGTTCAATACTCTCCCTTTCTTGTGCTACACCTTTCATGTAAGCCCCCGCACCGTGGACAAGGGGGAGATTTGTCGCTCCAGGGCTGAAGGAATGCGTTTCCTATGGGGTATAACTCCCTTCTGTTCTGACCCTCGCTGTCACAGTGTGGAGCTATTGCAATAACACTTCAGACAGTTGCTCAAGAGTCAGACTTTATTTTGTGGCCAGAACACACCAACTCACACTTATATCCTGCCTAGCTACGGTCGCTCTGCTCGTACGCCACCCTTTTCATTCTTTCATTCTTATTCATTCAATTCTCAGCTTTCACGGCATTTACTCCAAGGCACAATAATACAAATATTACCCAGAGAAAGACACATCTCACAATACTTTGACTCTCAATTGTACGCAGAGAACCCAATCCATGCTCAAGCTGGTTGGCGCAGAGTAGCCGAGTGTAAACAGGAAGAGAAGCGGAAACTTAACATGGACCTAGAGGTAGTCTAGGTTAGTATTAGCGTCACCAGCTGGACCGAGCGTTGTAATACACCCGCATTTGGGTCGGCACGGTTAAAAAAAAAAAAAGGGCCGTCTTCACATCCCTGTGGCGACCATCCGGGCCACTTAGTCTAGTTTGTTTGTGAAAACCAATGTGACCGTGCCCTGAGTGTGTGATTGGAACTTCTTCTTATAGTCAACACATGTTGACTGTAAAAATTAACGGACGTAGTCACGCCTATCTCCGCCATTCAAACAAATGGGCCAAAAAATGTGCTCTACTGGAGCTATCCAAAATGGCCGCGATTGGTCCCGGCCACAAGACAATTGTGAAAAAACGGTGCAGATGCCATTCATTTGAACGAGTGACTTCAAAAATTCACAACAAGTAAACTCGAGTGGTCCAAAAAAAATCAACCCCCTCAGCATTGACACACATGTGGAACGGAGCTTTGGGCCAAGAGCCAATTTTTGGACCATCCTGTAAAGACGTTTTTGAGAGATATGCTAAATGTTAGCATTGGCTAATTCTTCTTCTGGGTCCACCCCCATTGGCCCGGGGTGGTATTTCAAGCATGTCAGCGCACGTCATTTTGGCCACTTTTGAGCCGGGACCCGCCCCCACTGAGTCAACCATTCTCCTTGGAGGAAATGGTTTACGGATATAAAGTAGATAGATGTATAGATAACTTATAATGTAATACACAAGGTAGATACAGTATGTCTAGTTTTATTATAATGTTTATGTTTGGCTCAGCCTCAGAGCTTGTGCAAGATCCAAATAAAAAAATGTACAACGGTGACCACTGCTCCTGGTAGTCCCTACCGGTACGGCACGGTGGCTAAGTGGATAGCACTCTCGCCTCTCAGCAAGAAAGTCCTGGGTTCGAATCCCGGTCGGACCAGGGCCTTTCTGAGTGGAGTTTGCATGTTCTCCCCGTGTCTGCGTAGGTTTCCTCCGGGTACTCCGGTTTCCCCTACCACTAAAAATATGTCCAATAGTTCTGGCATTAGTACAGGCGCCTCCTATACTGGCGACCCTGCTCCCATCTCTGTGTTGAGTGAGAGACAAATGCCCAAAAAAAATTAACAATTGTAAACCGCTTTGAGACTCAGATCTGCAGTGAAAAGGCGGTATATAAATAAAGATTACTTACTTACTTACTTACCTAGCCTTAAAGACTGATCAAATACAGAGAACAATGACGTATAACTAATAAACTTAGTCCTCAACGGTATTCCAAAAAAAGGCATATGTCACTTTGCATGATTCACCGGTATGTGTGCGAACGGGGCAAAAGCCTCCTAGTTGCGTTTTGGTATGGTGGGGTGGAGGAGGAGGGTTGCAGCACGGAGAAAAGCACTTGTTTAAACGCAGCCTGATTGGCAGCATAGGTGCGTAGTAGTGGGAGAGAGCGAAGGCGGGTGAGATAGAGCCTGCCAAGGAACGGAGGACACCAGTCTCCCTGTCTTAGCTCATTATCAGTCATCAGTTGCATAACACTGCACATCCCTGGCTTTGAGTGTATTATTATTATCATTATTATTATTATGAAGTCAACAGCAGAAAAGCACTCTGATGTCCACACAGTTTGCGGTTCATTATCCCTCTGCAGCAGCGTTTAGCACCAGACCACGGCTTTTTCACACCATATTTTTGCTCGTCTCATAGCAACCTCTCCAACGCCAGCAGGACCTGAGAATAACTGCAATACCTCGGACAGAAAGCTCAAACCCATTTATGAGCAGACATACTATGTGCCATGAATGTTTTCACGCTGTCTTCAGGTGGAATGGAATATGAAAGTAAAGCTGCAAAGCTGGTTTAGACAATTGCTCAAACTATAGCTATAGAAAAATCACACAATTTTTGCTAAATTGTCTTTTTTGAGATTTCACCTTGTTGTTTATAGAATAGGTTGTTTTTAGAGCATTTTTTTATTTTCTTCTATACTTGAGATGCAATTGCTCTCTAATGATTTGATAGCATTGCACAGGCATTTTTTTTGTTGCTTTTACGTATATAGGGTGGACCATCAAGAATATTGGCCCTCCCAATTGTCAATCATTGTTAGTGATACGTGCTTGTCAAATAAGACCAGAGAGTTTTGTTCAAAAAGTGGAGAGGGCGGTTCTTTGCAAAAAAAATGGGAAAATCCTCCTAAATACCTTTGAATAGTAAATTGAGACTCCATGGGTGTGGGGTGTGTGGGGTGCGGCATATTTGTTGAACCTGATCATAATGACTCAATCTTCTCGTCCAGGGGTCTCCAACTCTTAGCTCGGGAGCCACTAGTAGCCTCCAGTAGCTCGTCACCCCCCTCCAGGTAGCTTGCCATAAGGATTTAGAAATGAACAAATCAAATAATACACTTAATATTTCAGATTGTATTATTCATTATCATTATTTATTATTGTAAATGCACTTACTTTGTGCAATAGTAACAAATATGCAATGATAAATAATGACTGTACCTACAACCAGGTTTGTTCACACCAAAATATCACCATTTTTTTTCCACAGGGCCTCTTAAAGGAGTAGCTATCTGCCTTTATGGTCCTGGGGATGTAGCTCTCTGGGTGAAAAAGGTTGGAGACACCTGCTCTAAGTGAAACTAGTGGGCTCTTTTTACTCCTTAGGGCAAGAGTACATGTCTGCTTTCTCTTCACACTTGTCTGCTTCTTTGTTGTGGTCTTTCACTAAATCATCCAAAACACAATGTACACAATCGACAAACATGACCAAAATGTTTTTATTTAAATCTGTCTAGACAACTATATTACTGTAATGTGCAAGTTGAGACAGAAGCTCTCTCGGTGCAGAGGAAGCCGTGACGTATATATATATATCTCTGTCTGCTCCTGTTTCAGCGGTTGGTGAAGATGAACATGCCGATCGGAGAGGACTACTCCGTGCACTTCACCTCCACCCTCATGGCTCTGATCCGCACCGCGCTGGGCATCAAGCTGGCCTCAGGTGCTTTTGACTGAGCTCTGTCACAAATGTTGATCAAAGGGGAAGAAGCTCAAAAGCAGGACTGGAAAAATACAAGTCTGAATACACAGAACACCCCCTAGAGCGGATAGTGGAACCCCCCATGGAGAGTGTCCATTGATGGCAGAAGAATAACTGCACTCCAAACTTTTGTTCAGAAAAGGTCAAATATGATGTGTACATGTGACCTGTTATCTGGGGTAGAAAATGAAATGAAAAAAGTCACAATACATATATAATGCTTTAAAACAAAGGCATAGAAATCAATGGAAAAGGTATGAAAGTTTAAGCCTCCAACCAGCTCTCATCATGACTATAGTCCACAGACAGACGCTGCTGTGTTATCTGTGTAATCAAGTTAACCTCTCATTGTCTGTTGTATTGTTGCGCATACAGGGGTCCTGGCCCAGCACCTGTGTGACGCCGATCTGCGCAGAGAGATCAGCAAAGTGTGGCCCAACCTGTCGCTGAAGAACGTGGACCTGCTTGTCACGCCGCACAAATGTAAATAGTAAACACTGAGATTGGAACACCCATTCTGCTTTATGTACTGTATGTAGAACGGCCACTTGTATCTCTATCCATCTATCCATCTATCGCTTTCTATCTATCTATCTACCTTTCCATCTATCTATCTACCTTTTTATCTATCTGTCTATCTATCTATGTATCAATCTATGTATTGTTTCAAAGCTTAGAACTTCTACAATTCAGTATTTTGTTAGCAACATCATCTAAGATACTTCAGTTTTGAAGAATACTTTTTATGCTGCACTATTTAGTATATAACTGCACTACTACATATATATTTTTTGACTGGTATTGAAGCATTTTCAGCATCTACACCTAGTTAGGGTTAGCTAGCCTAACCCTAGCCTAACCCTAACCCTAGCTACTACTTATTTGTATATAGTGTATATATTGTGTGTGCTCCCTGTGTGCTCTTACTACTGTCCTATATGTGCGCTGCAACATCGAAATTTCCCCACTGTGGGACGAATAAAGGAATTCTTATCTTATCTTGATGATTTCATGATTTTACAACCCATTTTCCTTGTGCCTCAGAGAAGGACCTGTTGTTTCCCTTAGTCCTGTCACACACTTCCCTCTGCTGCCCTCTGCTGGACATGTACGTGAACACTCCCTCTCTGTGTTCCAGATAATGAGCTGACCGTGGGGAAAGTCTACGCTGCGCTCATGATTTATGATTACTACAAACAGAACAAGCTGAAGAAGCTACAGGCGCTACACCCCACGGGCCCCCAGGTGGGACACACACACACACAAGAACACGCACACACACACACACACACACACTCAGGACTCAATGAATGAAGCTTGATTAGTAACACCTAATTTTTCTCTGTAACAATTGAAGAGATAAAACATTAAGGACATCTCTTTTAATCTCTGCAGCTCATCACAGCTCACATCCGGGTTTAGACCAGTGGTGGGCAAAACACATGCAGTCTTTGGACATTTCTATCAGGCATGTGAGCCTCCTCAGGTTTTATTGATGTAGTATAAAGATTATATAATCCTTCTGTGGAGCCCAGAACTTGGATAACATATTCTTTCATAATACATATAATACGCATTATGATATATATAATAATATATTCATTGGTAAGAAAATAAGCTTGAGAAAAAACATTGGAAATTAGGTCTGGTCACGAGAGCAGGCTATTTTCCATTGCCAAAGGCATTCAAATCATAAATAGTCACAGTGAAGATACAATCCTTCAGTTTTATGCACAGCCTGTCTCGCATTTTCAGGAAGACTGCTCCAGATTGTAGCTACATAAATCTGAAACGCTGCCTTCCAATGTTTAGTGTCGAATCTGGGCAACAATAGGAGGCCAGTCCCTGTGCTCTTCAGAGTCCCAGCAGGGGCCAGTCCCTGAGTATTTCCAGAAGGACTTCACCCACTCACCATGAGTGAAAAGAAAACTCGTTTCTCTGACAAACAGCCCAGAGAAGATCATGATCAAGTGTATACGAACGTAACTGTAGTAATCATGTGTATTTGTCTTTCCCAGTGTAAATTGGGCGTGCTGTTCCGGTCGGTGCTGCCGTTCGCTCATCTCCAGGACATGGACTCTCGGCCCAGACAGCCCCCACGCTCCTCCCCCCCTCCCCCCGACCCAGAGCCCCCGAAGAAACCAGAGGAAGCAGCCCCAATGCCCGCCTCTGTGCCCCCCTCTGTGCCCCCCTCCGTGTCCCCCTCTGTGCCCGTCTCTGCGGCCGCCACAAACACCACCACTGCTCCCAGCTTCACCACACGCACCGACAGAGACGTCCTGTGAGTTAATAGTGTTTTGGCCGGCGTCCATCTTGTCTTTTAGTTTAGTTTATTACAGACTCAAAACCAGCTCAACACTAACACTTTTCTACAGTGCAATAAAACGAGTTCTACACACACACACACACAAACGCACACACACACACACACACACACACACACACACACACACACACACACACACACACACACACACACGCACACAAACAAACTTTAAAAATGGAGTTCCTTTCATAGTGATGGGTTTTAAAATCTTTCACATACAATTACATATTTGCCTGACCAGCAGTGGCACATGCACTAGCCAAGGAACCACCTGTTCATTTTATTGTAGTGTGGATTACGATTGTCCAGAACCGTCTATTGGGCCTAATGTCTCTCATATAAGTGTGCACCAATATTATCAATTTAACCAAACAACCTATGTTGCTCGACAGAAATTTGACAAGAAGGGAAGAAGAAAAAAAATATATATTTTTCATTTGTGCAAGTCTAACATGAGGCGAGATAGCTTCTGCTGCTGTCTGCTGGATCTGTCAACAAACAGATCCAGATGCAAACATTTTGGCCCGAGTTTCCAGGTTGCTGCGCTGTTTAAAAGGTTTTTATCACACACAGCAACATAGGGATTCCTGGGCTCGAGTTGTATAGAGATGGTAGAGTGTGATGTGTGATTTTTCTTATTTGTCAGTGCAGTGAAGTTAGTTACAGCGGCAAACAGCGTTTAAGGGATCCTTCTAAATCACTTCCTAACATTCCCATCTTAAGCACATCCTCTACATTCAGCAGAGTTTTCTCGTTTCACACCGCGATGCTTGTGTTGATCACTTTTGCGTGTTTCTCTGCAGACAACCTCAGAGAAGTGCCATGAAACACTCCCAGTCCGGAGACGTGTGGGGAGGGGCACAGGAGCCCAGAGTCCGGAGGAGACTGCAGAGGGGCCAGTCTGAAGACGTGCCCTCGTGGACCAGACCTGAGGTACGGACCGGTGGACCTCTGAGCACTGTTTCTGCAGTCGTGTCTCTGAGGACTTTACACAGTTGTCCATTCATACGTATGCAACAACAGATCAGAGAATTAAATAAGAACAATAAAAATAAACGCATAGGAGCTAGTGGTCCAATGGGAGCGGGGTGACCTCTGTCTAGAAATGTCCAGAAATGTCCCGGATCATCCCTGTTGCTTGCATTTATTGGACTCTTGGTTGATTTATTCTTGTGTTGTTCCAGTCCATATAGATGTATTAGTGATCTGGCACAATTGTCTGGTATAGAAGCAAAAAAACCATGATCAGACAGCACAGACAGCCCAGCGCTCGGGGTTATATCTGGTGGAACTCCTGCGTTTGTAAGAGGCTAATGTGGTGATATGTGATTGTTGCAGGAGGTGGTGGAGCTGAAGCCTGAGGAGTCGGACTCCGAGGGGTACCCTGTGCTGGAGGGTCAGAGAGCTGCATCTCTGCCCCGTCTCAACGCCGAGTACTACGTAAGATACACACACATTATTACACTCTAGAGACGGTTCAGAATTTACAGCGGGTGTATAAATGAAAGAACATGCTCTATGACAGGGGTCTCCAACATTTTTCCCAGTATATATCATAATACAGTTCAATGCCATTGTGTAAGAACAAGAACCTACACAAATAATTCACTCGCAAGTTTAAGGCCTATATTTCCTCACTCCTCTTAATGCACTGGGATTATTTATGCCACAGCCACAGTTTGAGGGCTGACCACCAACGCCTCCGTTTTTCACCCATTGAATCCCGGCTTTCGCCAAGCAATCTATCCGTTACCCGGCATTATCTGTAGAGCTACAGAGTATTCTATGTTTCAGCTATGGGCACATGCTGCACCGGCTTTGAAACATGAACATTTAAGCTAACAGGAAGTGAAAACTGTTCATTTCAACATGCTTCTGTTCTGGAGGAAATCCAAGCTAAACGTGGCTAGTCTTCCTTTTTTTTGAGATGGCTGAGTGGTCAGGACTCTGTGGTCTGTGGTCCAACCTTCAGACAGGGCCTTTCTTAGTGGAGTATGCATGTTCTCCCCGTGTCTGCGTAGGTTTCCTCCAGGTGCTCCAGTTTCCCCTACCAGTAAAAACATATATAATAGATCCTTTCTCTTTGGGGCCAGGACTCCCCTGAAAAAGATTCCATAATTTCGGTGTAACTTTACAGGTTAAATAAAGGTGAATGAAAAAAATAAAAGACAATGGCTTTTTTGCTGTTTGAGTTTGTCATGCTTCTGAATCTACTTTTTTGGATGAAAGATTTTTTGGGAGTCAATGGGGAAAAAAATATAAAATTACGCTTTTAGGAGCCAATGAGTTAACAAAGTACAATGGTTAAAAATATTTTGGCATAAACTTACACCTTTATAAAGTAGAAGCACTGCTGAATAATTGCCTAGTCCTAGTGCATGTAGACTGAGTGGTAAAAACCGGTTTGGGATCTTCACCAAGTCTGTTTTTGACTACCTCCTATTCTAATGCTTTGTATACTTCTCCTCGTACATATTAACTATGTCCGGGGAAAATACTTGAGACTGATTGATTTCCAGGCAATACTTTTTGCGAATGGAACCTTTGTGTAACTAACCTCAAACAGTTCCTTCGGCTTCAGTGCATAAGTAGGAGGACCCAGAGCGGCACACGTGGTCCCCCTTTTCTCTCCCACCTCTTGTCCATCCTGTCCGGACAGGTCTGGAGCTAACCTTGTCCCCTCCTCTGGTCTGTCCCGTAGAGGATTCCCCCTCGACACAGAACTGGGACCCAGCTGGCAGTATGTACCACCCTGTCCTCCTCTTCCGCTCCTCCATGTTGTGATTCCTCATTTTACATTTTATTTTCATGTCAAAACCCTTCCGCCGACTTTAATATGGATTACGTTAGTTTTGTTCAATGTTTGAGTGTGATTTTTTGCCAATTCGGGAAAAAGGTGAACGCTTGTGTGAGTGTGAAAGCAACCCAGTCTCTGAGAAATGCACCAACATACTGTATGTAGGGATTTAGTCATGAGTGGACGTTATGCATGGTTTTCAGTTATTATTAAGGATTATTATTATCTAAGCAAGGAGATTCAACCAAAGTATTTTCTCTAAATAAAGTTTTTCTCCTCACATATATTCACATATTTTACTTAGAAGAATTTATTTCCCATTTTAAAACATGCATCGGGGTATGCGTATATATAAGATAGTGTCTTATACAATGATTGCCGTATATACATGAGCCCTAATCATTTAACGTGTGTATTCAAAAGTCTGCAGCTGCTAAACTAGACTGGTCCAAAAAAAAAAAAAAATTCCCCTCAGCATTGACACATCTGGAACATAGCTTTGGGCCAAGAGCAACTTTTGGACCAGGCTGTAAAACCGTTTTCAAGAGGACAGTAGACGTCACTCAAAAGCATTGGGTAATTCTCTTTCCGGGTACACCCCCACCGGCCTGCAGTCCGTGCTCATGGACCTTTTGGAGCCGGGATCCGCCCCCACTGCTCACAACCCACATCACATCAAGCAGAAATCATAAACATTACAGTCTACACATACATAGAAGAAATACAATTTAAAACAAACATTAACATCACAAGAAATATTGAAAACAGAAAAATATCACGCAAGTAATTAAAAACAAAAAGTCACACATGAATTTAAAGCATAAAGCTGGGGTACCTAAATCTCAATCCACAAAAACAGCTCTTCCAAAGAATGTGACTATTCCACAAAAAGTCTTTCTCTTCCTCTAAAGACCATGTGCGTTCGGAGACTGGGTTGATGCTGGTGCTGTGCCGCGTGCTTTCTTTGACTAACGTTTCTTTCTTTTCTAGTCTGGTTCTGTGTCAAATCAGTCGTATTCCAAACCAGTCTTAAAAGTGCGCTCTATGTTCGCTTCCCACTGAGGTTGAAACATCGTCTCACTTCTTAAGACTGGAAGTTGAATATACTGTTCTTATGGTGGAATTTAAAGTGAACGTTATGATTTGGGATGTCCCGATCCGATGTTGGCATTTACTGAGTATCGGAGCAGTTTGAGGCAAGTTTAATTGTGTAGCGCGATTCATACACGAAACAAGGCAAACGGTACGGTGAGTAGATAGGACTGTCACTTCTCAGCAAGATCCTGGGTTTGAATCCTGGTCGGAACAGGGCTCTCCCCGTGTCTGTGTAGGTTTCCTCTGGGTGCTCCGGTTTCCCCTACCACTACTGTACTGGCAACCTCGCTCCCATCTCTGTGTGGAGTGAGAGACAAATGCCCAGATTTGTATAGAGCTTTATGACTCTGGTCTGTGAAGGCCAGTCCCTTTGCTCCTCAGAGTCCCAGCAGGAGGCCAGTCCCTGTGCTTCCTCAGAGTCCCAGCAGGAGGCCAGTCCCTGTGCTTCCTCAGAGTCCCAGCAGGAGGCCAGTCCCTGTGCTCCTCAGAGTCCCAGCAGGAGGCCAGTCCCTGTGCTTCCTCAGAGTCCCCAGCAGGAGGCCAGTCCCTGTGCTCCTCAGAGTCCCAGCAGGAGGCCAGTCCCTGTGCTTCCTCAGAGTCCCAGCAGGAGGCCAGTCCCTGTGCTCCTCAGAGTCCCAGCAGGAGGCCAGTCCCTGTGCTTCCTCAGAGTCCCAGCAGGAGGCCAGTCCCTGTGCTTCCTCAGAGTCCCAGCAGGAGGCCAGTCCCTGTGCTTCCTCAGAGTCCCAGCAGGAGGCCAGTCCCTGTGCTTCCTCAGAGTCCCAGCAGGAGGCCAGTCCCTGTGCTTCCTCAGAGTCCCAGCAGGAGGCCAGTCCCTGTGATCCTCAGAGTCCCAGCAGTAGACTTGTATCATCAGGAAATTGGTATCGGTTTCAGGATCTGTACCAACTTGGATCGGGACATTCCTAGTTATTGTTGAAATGTATCTGGCTGGAGTCACAACCAAAACTGTGAGATGCGGAAACTCAAGATCAAATAAATGTAGTAAATAAAAAGATGAAGTCACTTTTCAAGTTTTCCCTGGTTTGCCTCCTCTCACGGTTGGTTGTGGTTGTATCGGTCAGTTGTTTAATCAGGGGAAGGTGCTGGACACATCCAAAGACAACAAGCCTGTCACAGTCTTTCCCACTGCTTCTCATTCACTTAAAGCTCGGGGACCTCATTTCCAAACCGCAACAAATAGATCAACGTAAAAACAAAACATGTATCTAGTTTCTTTCACTGCGCATGTACAGGTATTATTGGCCTCCGTCACTTTGTTAGATCAGATTTTTCCAATAGATACTGTAATAGTGTATAGCACTCTCGCCTCTCAGCAAGAAGATCCTGGGTTCAAATCCCGGATGGAACGGGGTTAAATCCTCCAGCTCCGGCCCTGACCAAGCTGGGCATTTGGCGATGGGTTCCGGGGCGCTGTTACTACGGCGACTACTAGGATGGGTCAAATGCAGAGGATGAATTGCCCTACGGGGATCAATAAAGTGCACCTTTACCGTTACCGTCAGTTTTCAGCCCAAATAGTCAAAAAATGACTCTCAGGGCTCTTTCTTAAAATACATGCAAGAGAAAGCATGCTGCAAACAATTTTTTTTTCTGGCAGACAAACTAGATGTTATTTATGGGAATAAGATGGTAATCCCAGCAATTATTTATTAAACGCAATATTTAAATTTGGCTACTGCTTGTTTAACTGTGATAATCGGCACCTTACCTGCTTTCACTAACCTACTGTTTGTGATTTGTCTATAATTTGTATAATTCTGTGGTTTTTTTCTTCTTTTTAACACTAATACCGGCTTTAAGGTCTCTGTCCTGCAGTCTTGTATGATCGTTGTGTCTTAAATCCCTCTTCTCACATCTGACTTTGTGGCGTTTGTCCGTCAGCCGATCGTGGATTTGAGCCCAGTGCGGCGCTCCTTCTCCTCCCTGACTCCGCAGCGCCCTCCGGAGGTCTCTCTGGGGGACTACGACCTGCAGCGGCTGGAGCAGGCTGATCTCAGAGGCCAAGGCCAACACCACCATCACCACCACCACCGCTGCCAGAGGAGGAAAGAGCGGGAGCGCAGGCAGAAATCGCAGGACACGCCGGACACGCCCGGTAAAAGACACGCCCACAACGGCTTTGTCACAGGATGTTACAATAATACATTCTGAATTTCACAATGATTAATATAAACTAAGGTATCCACTCTAACTCTTCACAGGCAAAAAGAGACATGTCAGTCTGTTTGTCTACTCTACTCTACTCTACTCTACTTTACCCGACTCTACACTTTAGTATCTGGTATCATATCCTAGCAAGCTACCCGCAACCAACCTGTATCCGGGAGAATTCCTTGGTAACCGTGGCTTCCAGCAGCACTGTGGCCAATCACTGTCAGTTAGAACCCTTTAGTACCAGCTCGATCTGGATAGAACCAGCGCCAAGCGGGTACTAAAAAGTACCTGGAACCACTTAAAAGGGGCCAGGGGAAACAGAACTATAACAAGCTTTGGTAATGGAAGGACAGATTATTTGTAGAGCACAGCAAGAAGGAGCAAGAAGGTCCTGGGTTCGAATCCCGATCGGAACAGGGCCTTTCTGAGTGGAATTTGCATGTTCTCACCGTGTCTGCGTAGGTTTCCTCCGGGTGCTCCGAAATCCCCTACCAGGAAAAACATGTACAATAAGTATGAATTTAATGAGAGAGTGAATGGATGGTGTTGATTGGGGGCTGATGGTCTCTTCCGTCATCACCGTGTGTGGAATGATTGGAACAATATCTGAACTCTGAACATTGTAAAGCGCTTTGGGTGACCTTGGTTTGTAAAATGTGCTATATAGATAAACATTCCAAATAAACATACCAGCAAGAGGCCAGTCCCTGTGCTCCTCAGAGCGCCAGCAGGAGAACAGTCCCTGTGCTCCTCAGAGTCCCAGCAGACCTATACACAAGGGCGGACAGCCTAGAATCAAAAGTCATCTCAAAGAACATTAGCAAACAAGAACATGTTGCAGTGAGATAAGAAAACCTTTATTGTCCCCAAGTGAAATTTACTGTATACAGTGAAAAATGTCTAGTATTGAAATAACTCAATAGGACAGCTTATATCAATGAATGAATTGAGCTGCTTGAATATGCGTTGGCACAACAGAACCTCAATGACTCTTTTCACAAGAGTCATTGAGGTGAATAATTTAGATTTCCGTCATTAAGCATCTAATTTCAATGACTGTAACTGTACTTGCACTTGTGAAAAACTGAAGGCCATAACACTCAGGTCCCTCCCATGTTTCTGACTCACATGTTTCTGACTCCCATGTTTCTGACTCACATGTTTCTGACTCCCATGTTTCTGACTCTCATGTTTCTGACTCACATGTTTCTGACTCCCATGTTTCTGACTCACATGTTTCTGACTCCCATGTTTCTGACTCCCATGTTTCTGACTCACATGTTTCTGACTCCCGTGTTTCTGACTCACATGTTTCTGACTCCCATGTTTCTGACTCTCATGTCTCTCTGCAGGGTCTTTCCCAGAGGAGTCCCCTGAGGCGGAGTCGCGGGACAGGGCCCGTGATCGAGAGCGCAGTCGTCCCATGGAGAGGAGGCACCACTCCTCAGCGGGGGAGAAGCAGAGGTACTTCTCCTGCGAACGCTACGGCTCCAGAGAACCGCCTCACACCAGGTCTGCGGGCCCCAGCTGCACCACCTCACCAGGGGAGGGGCCCGACCCTTACCTCAGACAGGTCTCTCATCTCTCCTATTACTTCATTGACATTATGTTGTGTGTGATTGTCATCGGAAAACAGTATGTGGTAGTTTGGTATGTGTTTGTTTTAGTAGAACATGCAGAAGGATCCTAAAAAATGTAGATCCTCGGATTCCAACCTCCTTACTCCCATCAGAACAAAGTGCCGAACCTTGGGGGAACGAGCCTTTGCTGCAGCTGCCCCCACTCTCTGGAACTCACACCCACAATCCCTCAGGAACTCTGACTAACTACAAATCACTTCTCAAAACTTACCTGTTCAAAACTGCCTCCACTTAACTGTTTATATTTAGTTTTGTTTGTTATTTGTTCCATTGTAAAGCGTCTTTGAGTGTCCAAAAAAGCACTATATAAGTATGATGTATTATTATTATTATCGTTAGTTGCTTACTGTACTTTTGAAAATGGCATCACAAAGATTGCGTCAGATGCACAAGGTTTTCATGTGCACTATTTTCACTATTTTCACTGCAGAAAGGAGATGGTGGTCCTTCTGTAGTCAGCTCCTTCACAATGTGTTTTCTTTGTCTGTGGAGTAAACATGTATTAAATCATAGTATATTAAATAAATTTTAGCCCTAAATCACAACTGCAGTGGTCTCTGAGACTTAAACTGTTCGAACACATGGCTCCTATTAATAAACAAATCGGAGCCATTTGTCCATTGGGAGTGGGACGACCATTGTCCAGAAATGTTAATAAATGTCCTTAAATGTCCTGGATCGTCACTGTCCTTAGACCCTCTAGTGTCGGCAAGGACCAAACAAAACAGTGGGAAACCTTGAGGAGACCCACAGACTGCAGATCCAGGACTACAGCCAGAACAGGAAGTGGAATTTGTCTCATTTATCATAGTCTTATTAAGTATTGTACGCAGAAACCATCGTCAGTCTGTGATGTGGAGGTAATACTTATGCTTAAAGGGAGCTAGCAAGGCCCCAGCATTTGCATCTGCATGATTCCGATCTGTTTTACTAATGTCACATACTTTCTTCAATTCTGTGCTTCCAGCTCAGGCCAGAGACGCTTCCCCCCGCGCAGAGCTCCACGGGCCGCAGCAGACGCCAGCTCCCGCAGACGCCGCTCACACCTCGCCCGGGCGTGGCCTACAAGACTCCCTCCACCCTGCCCTCCACCGCGCTCACCTCCGCCCACCAGCCGCGCTCCAGCCGCGGACTGTCGGAGCAGCAGGAGCGCGCACCGCCGGAGCCTGAGCTGAGCCCGTCCCGTTCAGGAGACACAGACAGAGCCCCGAACAGGACCACGCCCACCTCCGCCTCCGGAGCGGTGCCAAACGGTTATCACTTTACCCTCGGTGTGAACTCTGCGCCCAGTCCCAGCGGCAGAGGGACTGGGGCTCTCAGGGACAAAGAGGACAAGGACTGGTGCTGACGGAGCGCTTTGCAGAGGACTCTCGACCGTACAGCACGGTCTGGTGGAGGCGCCATGTCGATCAGTCACTATGTTTACATGCACACCACACAAAAAACTACTTTGCTTTGATCTCGTCTCAATTTTAAAGCTGGGGTACCTAACTTTTAAACCACAAAAAACGATGTATTAAAATCTATCTTAATACCTCAGTTGCTTCTATCACTAGTTTTCACCTGCCTCTGTCACTTAACTTTTTTTGACAGAGGACCGCCCTCACTCTGCTCTCAGCCCAAAGAGTCAAATTGTTATTTCGGTATTTATTTATTTTATCTCAATATTTATTCGTCCCTCAGTGGAGAAATTTCACATTGCAGCAGAATAGGTTGAAACTGATCGAGCAAAACGCACCGCAACACCCGGCTTAAACCGCCTGCGCATTTACTAACCCTACTAACGTGTTATCAATGAAACACAAAGGTTGGGTACCCCAGCTTTAACCGACTAAATCATCCGTGTATCACAGATGAAAGATGAAGCAGTGGCCATGTACAGACCTACAAACACACATCTCGCTCAGTTTTTGCTCGGTTTCTGTGAATAGGGTTGAAGGTGCATGTGAGCCTGAAGACCGCCGTGACCTGTGTGGCCCCTGTTCAACATGGCGTCTCCATCGCTGCGCATCCAGGGGGCCGTGGACCCAGAAAAAAAGCCAGTCCCAAACAAAATAGAACCATTCCAACTTTGTAAAACGCTCTTTTTACTTGAGAAAGCCCCCTCTTACTGCACTGTCGTCAAAGCACATCCAGTATTTTGCCTTGACTCGAAAACAGCCAAATCTACCGCATTCCTTTTAATAATCGGATTTAAATCTTGTACCTCAAAACTTAGAAACCGTTATTTTGACATGACACAATCTTGGTAGTAGAGACTTTGCCAAGTGAATACGAGTTTACATTTTTGTATGGTTTATAGGCAGGTTTAAGCACACATGGACCAAAAGCATTATCTGAGAGCGAGAAAAGGCCGTCGGAAAGTCTTTTGCATGTCTCTTGCTTGTTTTATCTTAATCCTCCCCCGCCCTCTGCGAGAGTAATGAGTATGTACAACTACAATGTATGTAGAAGCATAAAAAATGATGGATGGAAATTAAGCTGAGGCTGGGAGCAAAGAATTCTATGGTTGAAATGGTCACACAAGAAACAGGTTTTGATACCGTTTGACTTTGATGTCGGCTTTTCACTTTTCAGTTTTTAAAAATATTTCAAAATCTTGCCTCGCTTTCCCCTAGTTTTGAGTTTATAATGTGGCTTTCTGGTTGGACACAAGCTGGACTGATGGTTTGTAAATAGTAAACGGAACAAGAGGAGAATGTGTGTTCTCAATACGATCAAAGTATTGTCAAAGCCATCCATCCGTTTACTTCCGCTTTATCCGTGGCCAGGTCACAGGGAAGTCGTCTAAACAGGGACTCCCAGACCTCCCTCTACGCGCACACTTCTTCCTGTGTTCCATCAGCTCTACTCTACTCTACTCTACTCTACTCTACTCTACTCTACTCTACTCTACTCTACTCTACTCTACTCTACCCTACTCTACACTATTCTACTCTACTCTACTCTACTCTACTCTACTCTACTCTACTCTACTCTACTCTACTCTACTCTACTCTACTCTACACTATTCTACTAAACTCGGCTCTACTCTATCTAGTTGTGTTTCCACTACACTGTGTTTCTGGCACCATATCCTTGCAACCCACCCACAACAGACAAGTATCCGGCAAAATTCCTTGGTAACCATGGCTCCCAGCAGCCCTCTGGCCAATCACTGTCAAATAGATCTCTTTTGTACCACCTCAGCCTGGATAGGACCAAGGCCAACAGAGACTAAAAAGTACATGGTGTTTAACTTGTGATTATTCCCACTGCTGCCACCGGATGGCGACATAACCCCACTTGGCTCAGTTATGCCACACCACACACTTAGTATTGAATTATACTCATGTCCAACAGGTGTCCTTTAAACTTCCCTTTATGAATAAAGTTTTATTTATCGAGTAAATTATTGTCAGGACTTGAAGCCATAAGATGAATACACTTAACAAAATCAGGTTGAACATTTTGGGGAGTTTCTTCTAAATCTTGTGACTCAACCATAGAGTTCTTTTATCTCCGGCCCGTTTTCATATCTTTCTCTTATTCCAAATCCTTGCCCCGCCCACATCCACACCGTACCTTCTTGTTCATCTCTTGTCCTTTGCCGAGAGCACAAACCAGGGACCTCTGACTCTGTGGCTGAAAACTAAGTGCCTCATTTGTTTCTCTGTTTTTTTGGAGAGTTTGGACCAACACTGGAATTTTGCAGCCGGAAGTCTCTCCCACACAATGTCATGAACAGAATGCAAAAAAACAAAAAAGAGACATTTCTACAGAATCGTGTGGCCAACTGTAGTGCATGCAGGTCTTGTCTAAACGAGTGTTACTTTTGCCTGAAGGTGACATAAGCATTTTGCCTTTTCTTCTTCACTGGAGTGTTCATGTCCGGGCAGTAGCCAGCATTTGGTCAATTCTGTACCAGAGAAAAAGCTGGTTTTATTCTATGGGGTCAATGATGAAGACACCTAGATAGTAAACATGGGATCAGACCTGAATTTGTGTGACGTTTGACAAACAGAAATATTACTCATTATTTTTGGCCATTAAAAAACGGTTAATGAGACTTTTACTTTGTCATTTCATGTTTTGGAAAAAGGCTTTCTGTCTGTAACTCCCTATGCTACCACCAGAGGGAGGGGTTGAATAAGTTTGACTTCTAATTTGAAAATGACCAGCTACAAACACTGACATGCGCTTGTAGAGACATCATTTTTGGACGCAAACACCAGTTAGCCCCGCCCTCGCAGCTTCCTGATTTGCAATTAATTGAAATCCTTGATAGACTGACAGCTGAGGCCCCTCCCCATTGGTCTGACTATTCTCCTCCAGCAAATCTAACTGGTGGTGGTTATGCCCCGCAGAGGTGTAATAAACCCAGCATAAGGCTGGGTTGGGGGTAGTAAAGATAAAATCATCTCTGAATTTACTTGAACAAATACAGAATGGAGAATAAAAATCAAGAAACATAACAATGAAAATAAACTAAGTGGGAGCTTAAATACAGGAGGTGTATCCCGAAATATGATCAAAGGGGGAAATACTAATCTGCTATATATATGTCTTCTGTGGTATCCCTTTCCTTTCTCTTGCTTTGGGACCAGTGGAATCTCCAAGAACACAAAATGGCCTCCAGGCCCGTCTTTTGGGTGGCCTGTGTTAATGCTGTTTCAACCATAGTTGAACCTGACAAAATCTCAAACAACAAACAGACATAGTTAATCTTTTACTTGTTACCCGGTACAAGGAGAAATGTCTTGATAGAGTCAGAACACAACAGCTCGGCCTCTATTAAAACAGATCTGAAGCATTTCAGGCTGTATTGTATAGTATTCAAGGGGATAAGACACACCTCCACTTCCACACAGTCACAGTTTCACAATGAGACCTTTGGTGTTTAGCATATCAGTCAAAGAAACAGTAGGCCTAGCCTGGTCTCATCTGCATACAACCCCTGTTGCCCAGAAGACTGGTTGGAAACAACAATGATTTTCAATACAATATATTTTAGCCACATGTGATTTACTAAAATTATAACTTAAATGACATTCCAATGTCACCTGACAATAATATTTTTTTAAAAAGTCATAAAGTGAAGTAAAAGAAAATACTAACGCTGTGGAGTGTTGACCGAAGAATCCACCTCTGGTTTCAATAGAGTTTTAGTGAAAAATCTACAACAGGGTCCCAACTCAAAAGGGTCCGTGAGTATGTGCGCTGAGATGCTTGCCATCTCGTTCTGGGCTGGTGGGGGTGCACCCGGAAACAGAATTACCCAATGCTTTTGAATGCCACCTTCTTTGCTCTCGAAAACAGCTTTACAGGATGGTCCCAAAGTCGCTCTTGGCCCAATGCTAGGTTCCAGATGCGGTCAATGCTGAGGAGAATATTTTTTTTGGACCAGTCTAGTTTAGCCGCTGTGGACTTTTGAATGCACACAAAAGTGATCACACATAAGTTTTAATGGCGGAGATAGGCATCACTACGTCTGTTAATATTTACAGTCTATGGTTCCAATTAAAGTTACAGATATGACCTATTACGGCACGCACGTCAGACTCAGGCCTGTGGGCTAAATCCGGCCTGCAAGATCATTTTTTATGGCCCCATGTTCAATTATCTTTATCACAGTAATTCGCAGCGTTGATGGTCATGGGCTACTATGGCATGTTATACTTAATTGTCTCAGGAAAACAACCTGATTATTGAATATGTTCTACAATGTCAGTTAAACACAAAAGATAATTATTTAAATATCAGTCTTCAAATACATATTAATCCAAAAAAAGGCCATAATGAGTTTGACACCCCTGTTTTAAGGCTTTATCACCTCTGCTGCATCTGCTGGTATGGAATAAACACAACCGAAAACCTTGTGTTGAGTGGAAAGAAAGCCACAAATGAAACCTAAAACCACCGACCAAATGCTGGTTATGACCCGATTGCGAGAAAACATGTATTCTACTGACATCTGGTGGAGGGAGTGGGTATTGGATAGGTTTAAGTGCCATGTCAGTGTTTCATCAGTCTGTGTTATATGCTTTGTGCTGCTGCTGACTGTTGCTGTGAACTATAGGGCTATGCAACGAGTGGACACCTCCCCGGACTCCAACCCAACCTGTGTGAAAATGTGCTCGATGTGTCAAATATACAGCGAAGGGGAAATATTAAACTGTACTTCTACACACAGCCCCCGGATTGTATTATTTATTGTGATATAGCGAGCTGTTAGCAAGACACGGACCAGGAACAAGTCAGTGTCAGAGCGTAGATACAGCTCTGCTTGAAAGTTTAAGGGTGTCCAAACTTTTTTGTATTAGGGCCACTTTAGTTCATCAGACTTGACCTAGGGCTGACAACCTGGATTGAAAAAACTGTATTCAAGCTGGAATGACTGGATTCTGGAATTTAAAATGGGTTATGATACGTTCTTATTGATTCACGGCTGCATTTTGTACGGAATGTTGGCACACAATCATAAAACAAATTTCAGTGTATAACAATAGAGTAAACAACTGGATTCCAGAGGGTCTGAGATTTACAACAAGCTATAGCATGACTGTGTTGGTTGAGCTGAAGTTGGTTGGGCCACATAAAATGGCACAGAGGTCCGCAATTGGCCCGCGGACCTGGGACAAGCCTGGTTTAAGGGTTAGGGTCAAAATTTTGGGCTCAACTTTTGCTCCTCTGTCTCTCTGAAATGTGCAATGTTCAAAAATGAAATTAATTTGAACATAAAGTTAAATAATTCAGACACACAATAATATGTTATTGCCCTTTTTAGGAAACAACTCACATGACCCTCCTCCCGTCTCTTTCACTCTGTGTCTTTACATCTATCAATAACGCTTTGATTGTGACTAATGATCAAAGCCACGGCCTCGTTAGGACCTTTGCCGGAGCATTTCTCTACGGTGCATGATCTGGATGATGGGGGAACCGGAGCGCCTGGAGGAAACCCACTCAGACATGGTGAGAAACATGCAGACGCCACACAGAAAGGCACAGGTCCAGACATGATTGAACCCCCACCCGTGCTGTGAGGTAACTGCTGGCTACTTTTTCCTTTTTTAGCACAATGCATTAGTCACTACCGCCGCAATGAAGCAGGGGTGTCAATCTTATTTTGGTCAGAAGCTGGATTTAGAAAAAAAACAACCCTGGCCTTTTGTGTGAACTTGGTCTGTGAAATACCATATTTAAATAAAGATTACTTACTTTCTTACTTATGAATGTGTTTTGACAAAAGGATTTATTTATCTTAATCTGAGTTTGGAGATTGCTTTCTGCTAGATTTTTCTGAACAAAACAAGTTCAGAGCCATCCATCCATTTTCTTCCCCTTAACCCATTTCTGGGTCGGGGGGGTGGCAGTCAGAGCTGCCCCCAGTACACTTAGCACCAGCTACATGAACTGAGATCTTTCCTCAGGGGCTTCAGACAAAGTGGGGACACAACAACAATCAGTGGGAGTCGTGAAGTACATGTAGGTCTTACCGTGGGCTCGGACCCACGACCTTCAGGCCCAAAGGCCAATGCTCTACCAACTGAACCTACCAACTTCAGTTCAGAGCCACTTCACTAAAACCAAAACATGGGTCAATGTTAAAAGATTGACCAATGATGTATTATAAATTATCCATGTATTATAGTTACATGTTGTGATGCATATAACCCAGACCTGTCCAAAAAGGTCCAGGGCCAGTTGCAGCCCGTCAGTTTCTGTGGCCCGCTGCTTTGCTAACCCAAAAGCCGATATAGACATGCTTTTCATTATTGATGTGTTATTCATGATCATGGCACACACATGCATACAGTATGTGACTGTCATGGGAGCTAATTAACATGTTTTACATTCAACCAACTTCAGCTACGTCCAATGTGGATCAGTGTGAACATACTTAGCGCCCATAACAGCCTGAATCCTGTCAAAAAAGTTTTACAATTTGGGTCTGTCTGGTGAACTGAAGTGGACCTTTAACTATGGGCAAAAAAAATATCTCAATATTTTTTCCCCATTTCTCGGTAACAATAGCCTGGTCTTACCACACCATCGTACTAGTTTCGTCCTAACTAATTTCGTACTAAGGTCTGGATTTGCTTCCTTGAGCTTCATTAACAGGTGGGAGGTGTTGACTCCTTTTGCAGATTGAAACGATTGGATCTGAGTTTGTAATGCGCCTGAGTGAGTGAGACATTTAGCATTTAGCCAGCTTTAGCCATCCCCGGAGCCCGTGGGGAGTAGAGCCACAACATCTTTATCAGCAATGAAATTAGCTCCAGTTTCAAATTCTTGATATTTGGAACTATTTCCAATTACTTTACTAATGCATTGTCCTCCATTGCCAAACTACAACAAGCAATTTCGGCGCAAACTCTTGATGTCACCAACATCTACCTACAACACCCGCCTCCCTCGCTCGCTGATTGGTCGGATGGGATACAACCGAGGTAACCGCAGACACTAAAATCGGACCGACCAGACTCAGACGCACATGTAGAAAATTATATTTGATCAGAGTTTACGGATGGCTAAGGACAGGCTATAATAAAAGTCATGTAATTACATCTATAAAAAAAATATTTTGGTGTTTTATCCCTTTACACAAAATTGTCTGCAATGTTTTGCGACAGAAACAGTGTAGATCAAAACAGCAGCACTTTTCTTACATCTTTTGCAAAACATGCTCAAACATAATATATTGATGTTACATGAATTCCCTGACGGCATCTAAAACACGGAAAGAACACATAAAAAACATGTTCTCAATATGTATGGAGTAAGAGACAAATTCCCACAATTGTAAAGAGCTTTGTGACTCTGGTCTCTGAAAGATGCTATTTATAAATCAAGATTAATACATTTTATTTCTTAGGCGCCTTTTGAGACACTCAAGGTCGCCTTACATCACAAGTAAAAAGTACCTTTAGTTAAAATACTGTTAAACTACAGTAAAAACCAGCACGAACAGAGGACTGTGTGGTTATGATGTAACTGAGTAGGCGTGTCTAAACCATAGACTGTATATATTGATATACAGTGTCTAATATGTCTAAACAGATGAGTTTTGAGGGTGGATTTGAAGTGTGTGAGTGGTTGGTGCTACGGAGGTTTGATGTTTGGTCCATACAGTCTCTGAAATCTACCTCTATCTGATACGTTTGCACACCCCTGATGTTGCCCTATTTAGTTTCTTTCCAACAGCTTCTACTATTAAAAAAAGAAAAGAATATGGAATAAAAATAAACATAAAAATAAAAATTACGCAGACATTATTGTTGGGAAAAAAATCTCCCCTGCGCTGATTGGTGGATAGTGTCCAGGGGGCGGGCTCAGGTCAAAGATGCTGCTGAGCGCGCCGGGACTCCCAGAGAAGAGGAGGATGGCGTCTGTGTGAGCGGCTTATACTCCGACCACAGTCTGTTCTGCACCTGCTCACGGCTCTGTACGCTCTCTGCGACACAGACTCTGCCCAAACTCGTCAGAAAATGCCGTGTCTGCGCTGGAGTGTGTGTCCGCTGCTGCTGCTGCTGCTGCTGCTGCTCCGGGTGTCTGCCGCCCAGGACCCGGGGGAGGATGGAGCGGAGTCCGGGTCTGGGATGCTCCTCTCCGGTAGGAAGTTTTACTGTTCACGCACTAAATTTAAAGCCGGTGTCTGTCCCGTCAGAAATGCTGTCTCATTTGAAAACAGGATCTTCTGAATACTTGTACCTTGGCGAGACCATTTTTAGTTGCCCCAGAAATAAATGATTTTCAATTTATTGCAGTAACTTGTTGCATTGATGGTAATGGGCTACTATGGCATTTTACACTTGCTTTCAAACCTATTTTCTCAGGCAAAACACCACGAAATTGTCTGTTCTATAATATTTTTTGAAGTATTGTCCAATACAGTTAATATGAAAACATGTAAAAACAACTTTATTCCACTTTTACACTTCTGGTCCCAACTAGATTTTAGGTTTTTCAAACATTTTGGCCCTGAACCAAAATGTGTTTGACACTTCTGCTTTCGGCTGTGAGCTGATTAACTGAGGGTGGTCCACTTTCTTTCACATTTATGTCTGAAAAAAATGATCTAAAAAAAGAAGTGCTTGTGAATACTCTTGATAGTGAGTGAGGAGCTAGGAGCAAGTTAGATGGATTTTGTTTGTACCCCAGCTTTCTGTTACTGTGCTTTCAACTGAAGGACTGTATCTTCACTCTTGTTAACATACTCTGATTATTTATGAGTTTAATGCCTTGTGTGATTGTTTTGTTGAGCCCTTTTGAATTGCCTTGTGTCTGAACTGTGCGTTACAAATAAACTCGCCTTGCCAGATGATCCTGATATCATTTTGGATGGAGCCAAAAACAACATCGGGTCTGTTTATGATGAGGGAACAATGTTTTACACCAGCTGAACGCTCTCTTTGTCGTCACTTTGTTTCCATGTTTATAGCTACACATGTGGAAGTGGTGCCTGGTGTCATTAGTCAATTATCAAATCACACTCAACACGAAGACCTGATCTCTGCCTGTTATCGGCCCAGTGTTGAAAGCCTGGAGTCTGTGGCTGCTGCTCACGGGGCTTGTTCAGCTGAAGTCGTAATTTGGAACGGATTAGGCAAGTTTATTTTGTATAGCACAGGTCCTACACAACACATCTCAAAGTGCCGAACAAACACAAGCAGTAACATCATAAATATCATGTCATTTCTGGGTCGGGGGCAATCAGAGCTGCCACCCAAGTCTCATAGCACCAGTCCCTTGGTCCACGGGAAGATGGCTTCTCTGTCCTCGACGAGATGGCCTTGGTCTTTCAGCGGGGGCTTCAGGCTCTCAATGTGGGGTTGAGTGTCTTGCCCAGGGACACAACGACAGCAGACATCAGAGGGAGCAGGTGACATGGATCGTGGTGGGCTCGAACCCACGACCATTGGGTCCAAATAAGTAAAGATACAATCCTTCAGTTGAGCGCACAGCTAAACAAAACTTTTTTTAACCTGGATTTGAACATTGTCAGAGTCGAAGCGTGTTTCACATTTTCAGGAAGACTGTTAAAGATGTTAACAACAAATCATATAGTTGTTTTCTGTTGTTGAAAATTAGCTTTAAAATCATTCATGCTAGCCTTACCATCAATATTGTTGGCTCAATGACATCACACCCACTTTTCCGCTTTTTAAAACTAAAGTGTTGCCCATAAATGAGTTTTGGCCGTTTTTCACGTTTAAGTGTTAATGATAAAATTTGGGGGGAAAAACCCGAAAGAAATATTACTCCTCCCTCTGGTGGCGGCATAAGGAGTAACAGGCTGATGACGTTTTTCACCTTTAATACTTATTTCACCACATATTTTCTACTGATGCTATTTCACATTCTCTGACTTGACATGACAAAGTAAATGCGCTCATTATCGTCGTTATTGGACAAAAATAACGCATCATACTTATTCTTTAAGGTTTTACATTAAAATACATGTGACTCCAATGTGCAACAATACAATAATGGAGTTTCTGGATCTTCTCATAGCAGAGTTTGAGTGAAAGAGTTGGAATTCCTGGTTCCCAAACCGTGGGTGAAAGAGTTTGAAACCTAAAAATGGTTTAGTTTGATGAAGACTGCCATATACACAAAAGTATGGTCTAGATCAGGTCTTGACAAGCTGTGGTCTCAGTCTCATCTTCTCTTTTGACGCTCACTGGTCTTGACTTTGTCTCGGGTCTGACGTGAACTCGACACCAGATGCAATCAGAGCCTTTTCTTCAAGAACGGACGAAGACTTGGTGGTGGTGTCTATCTTCTTCCTAAGATGGAGATTAAAAATCCTACGGGACAAAAGACCAATATTACCGAGATTAAAATTACATTATTGTGCTATTGTTCAAGTTTTATACATTCCCAATTGTGACTTGTCTGAGGGTGTAATGTAACTTGCTAGGAGGTGGTTTGCAAACATAATTTTTGAATGTTGTTTGGCTTGAAAGTACTGGACAGGAGAGGACTCATACTGGACTCATGCGTTTTCCCCATGAAAATACCAAAAACAAGGACGATTTAAAATCAGCGGAGAAAACATATATTCGAGGCCTGCTGAATAAAATGGTTTGAGAGACCCCTGTGGCTCCTCTTTCTCCAAAGTGACTTCATTCCAGGCTCTTTAACAGTGTGCCTCTTCACATATCTGGGCCTGGTCTGAGTCTGAGTCTGAGTGTTCCCAGATTTTAGATGATTCAGGTTCAGGAGCAGATGTTCAACCTGCTTTAACGTCTTCTCAGGGGAGTTTATCTCAATCATCGAGCAAAGACACACAGGTTTAAGGAAAAGTATTTATTCATGAAGGAAAATGTGTCCTCTGCCTTTGACCCTTTGAGTAATAAATAAATAGATAGATACTTTATTGATCCCTGTAGGAGAAATTCAGGTGTCCAGTAGCAGAAACACATCCATTATTCTAAAAGTTCACTAACAATTGTAATAAATTGCATCATGTCACAGCAGCAGAGGTGAAGTAGTCACTATAGGGTCGTCATATAGTCCATTGACCCATCTCCAACTATTGTTATGTGTGGACAGGACCGGAACTGGTCGATTTGAGATATGATGCATGTTTTAGGTGGTGGTGGAAAACCGGAGCGCCTGGAGAAAACCCAGACATGGGAAGAAACACTCGAGCTCCACACACAAAGACCTGGACTGGCTCCGGAATCAAACCCAGGAACATGCTTTGAAGTGTTAGTCCTACTCGGCACGGTGGCACAGTGGTTAATGGTTTCCCCGATACCACCGCATGGACCTTTCTGAGTGGGGTTTGCATGTTCTCCCCGTGTCTGCGTTGGTTTCCTCCAGGTGCTCCGGTTTCCCCTACCACTAGAAACATGCACAATAGTTCTGGCATGTGCTTCCTGTATGGCAACCTCGCTACTGGATTGGTCCGAGGGGATCAGCCAGGAGCCAATCAGGGCATGGACATCAGAGAGAAGGGAAAATTCATACCAACAAAACCCATCCATTCAAATATCTTTATTAGCTCCTGTTCAGATTCAGATTGACTATAGAACTCTTGTGGTTGTCTATAAAGTCTGGCACCTCCACATAGTTATCTTTAGCCTGAAGTCCGCACACTCAGACCCTCGCTCCTCAACTTTCTGAACAAAACCTGATCTAGATTGGTCCATCATTTCCCGGCTTCATGTTTGTCCCGGCACTGACTTCAATAATTCAGAGCATTCCTGTTGTGATGTTTGAGGAATGACTCTCATTTACACTGAGGCGTTCCTCCGTCTGATTTATCTGCTGCTCTGTGGCGCTGATGGAAGGGCCTCCGCTTCTTCAGAGCACTTCTATGTTCTGTGTCCTGGGCTGAAATAAGGGCTCCGTTCTCCGATAGATAAATAGAAAGATAGATAGATACATTATTGATCACCGTAGGAGAAATTCAAGTTTCCAGTCGCAGCGAAAATAAAATTGATCATTCTCAAAAATCTAACAATAGTAAAAAGTTAAAAAGCAACAGCCCTTCAGGTCACAGCAGCAGAGATGGTGTAGCCTCTGGGTGTAGCCTCTGGGTGTAGCAGGACGGGTCACAGCATTCACACTACTGCATTCATACTGTTTCGCTCAAGTTTATTAAATTGGACACAATGATTTGGAGAATTCTTAGAATTTATTCTTGTTTAGCCCTGAATCACAACAGTAGTTATCTCGGAGAACTTAAAAAAAACGTTGAATTTGCCAACACGGATCAGAAGATCAAACAGTTCAAACACAAGAATTTGACAGAATAAAAAAACAAATAGAGCCATTGGTCCATAAGGGGCAGAGACCAATGTCCATAAATCCCGGTTGGACCAGGGCCTTTCTGAGTGGAGTTTGCATGTTCTCCCCACGTCTGCGTAGGTTTCCTCCAGGTACTCCGGTTTCCCCTACCACTAAAAATATGTACAAAAGGTCTGGCATGCGCCTCCTGTACTGGCAACCCCGCTCCCATCTCTGTGAGGAGTGAGAGACTAATGCCCAAAAAATAACAATTGTAAACTGCTGTGTGACTCTGGTCTGTGAAAGGCGGTATATAAATAAAGATTACTGACTTACTAAACTTAATATATGGTTAAAGCTAGTGAAGAAATGGATCCTGAGTCAAAATCCACAGAAACATCTCAGACCCTCAAGTATGAAAGCTGATTGTAAAGCTGCTGAAAACGACTATAAATTCTCATCTTGTGTGCTGCCGCTTCACATTGTGGAATATTTCGGTAAAATTTGTCTGTGTGTCAGCGGAGGAGGACAAGGCCAGTGTGGAGATCTGTGTGTTGAGTTATAGCTGCAGGTGGCTGTAAAAGAGGAGCTTTCGTTTTTCTCACTCTGACCCCAAACTGGAAACAACACTTAGACCTTTGACCATCGCTCTGAAATTCTGTGGAGCTTTCAAGTTCTTTTGTTTTTTAAGTCCCAACAACATCTTAGGCTTATTCTGCTTATTCTGTTGTTATTCTCCATATATTTACAGGCAGTCTGAATTTTATGTAGGCTACTTGGGCTGTAGATCCAGGACTGAGGCTGTAGATCCAGGACTTGGGCAGTAGATCCAGGACTGAGGCTGTTGATCCAGGATTCAGGCTTTAGATCTA